TTGTCCGCAGTGGTATCGCGGACAATGGCACGGGCACCCCAGACTCGGAAACGCGACGCATCGCCAACCTCCCCCGTCGAGCGCAGTGTGGGCGAAGTCTCCGGCACGGAGACACGGGGCCAGAGGTTGAGCTGATGTGCGGCGTACTGGACCGCAAACGGCCACAAAAAATGGGGGGGCAGCCGCATGGATCATGGAGGTACGAGCGACCTCCATGACTAAGCCAATGCGGCGCTCAGCAACCCCATTCTACTGCAGAGAGGCCGGAAGTGTGAACGTCTGGCGGATGCCGTGCTCCTCAGAGTAGGCTCGCAAGAGGTCGGAGGTAAACTCACCACCTCTGTCGGAGTGCAGACGCAGGACAGGAAAGTCCGAGTGGAACCGCTCGTGGAGCTAGAGACGAACAGTGCGGATCCAAGGGATCAAAACATCAGGGACCTCCCCCTTGCGCTGCAAGGGGAAGACCGTGGTGTAACGCATGTAGTCGTCGACAACCAGCAGGAAGTACTGCTCGTGGCCCTGTCCACGGACGCGGGCTGGGCCCCACACATCCAGGTGGAGAGTCTGCAGTGGAGCCTCTGTGGGAGGGAACGAGGAGGAGTGAGGAGCGGCGCGCTGCCGCCCCTCAACGCAAGGAATGCAGAGCGGCGCAGGAGAGGGAGGGGGGGAGGGCAGATACCGAGGAAGACCAGAGACCAGGCGGCGAGAGTGCATGCCACGAAGGCGAGGCAGGGAGGGGTGACCAAGGCGGTGGTGCCACAAGAGATTCTGGTGCGACAGGCTGCGACACTCACACTGGGTAGCTAACTGAGCAGACGTGTACAACTGAGGAGACAAACGGGTGGAGCGCGACGCAGTGGTGAGGGTGTACAGACTGGACCCAGGCACACGTGTGAACGTGGCCAGGTGACGGCCGGTCCGGGAGCACGAGCAGATCACCACACGCTGTCCTCCAGGAGTAAAGGTGTCAACCCAGTGATCGTGAAGGACGGCGTTGCTCACCTAATTTGGGAAGAGAAGGAGGGGAGGTGGAGACCAGACAGCTCACCAGACGGGACCGCCGGACACGGAAGCACAGTGGAAGACCGTGCAAGCACTGGGCCCCCAGAGGGGTTAGCCAGTGAGAAAGGTACAGGGGCTAGGAGGGGAGTGACTGTGGTGCTGTCGCGAAAGAAACAACGGGAAGCGCCAGAGTCAAGTGTAAAGAAGTGCAAGGCCTGGGCGGACGCAGTACCAGGGAGAGCAGACTCACTAGCACCTAGAGCTGCATGCGCTATACCTGGGGCTATACCGGGGTCAGGCGGCACACACCAGTAGCAGTCACCCTCAGCACTAACAGTCAATGCATACATGGAAGAAAGAATAGCATCATAGTAAGGATCTGCCCAGTTGGGGAACTCAGTAGCATCAGGAAACCTTACGCGCCAGGCGTCGCCAAGTCGAGCGAAGCAGCGGTACTCAGTGTGAAAGCCGGTGCACTGGCGACCAGCACGGGGACCTGCGCGAATGATATAGGGGCAGCGACTAGGACCCCCAGACGCCCCACGCCCGGCATACCAGTGAAGAAGCTGCTGGGAAGTGGGGGTCTGGCGCTGACGCTGCGGCTGCTGCTGCTGTTGCCCCTGGCCACCACTGGTGTCACCAAAGCCCCCACCATGGCCGCCACCACCACTTCCCCCTCCGCCACCACCGCCGCCGCCACCGCCACTGCTCCCGGCACCACCACCGCCCCCACCACCACCTCCACCCCCACGACCACCCCCACCACCTCCACCTCCCCCGCCGCCTCCACCACCGCACCCTCCACCGCCACGTCCGCCACCCCTGCCACCCCTGCCTCCCCTGGAGCCGCTGCGCTTCCCACTAGGAGCAGAAGTAGCTACGACCTTCTCAGCACCAAGGAGGTCGACAGCAACAGCTGCGAAGGCGTAGGAGGGGGTAAGAGGGGAGGGGGAGCACCCCTCAAAGAGGGGAGTGCGAGGAGTACGACGAGCAGCACCTACAGCGAGGATGTTCTTCTTTGCTGCTAGGAGGTGCTTCTCGAAGTTGGCGACAGTGAGAGTGGTAGGGTCTAGGGTTAGGAAGTGGTCTCTGACGGAGCTAAGAGTGTCAGGGAGGTGGGTGACGAGGAAATAGAGAGTGAAGTACATCGGGGGGGGGGGGGGGGGGGGGTTCTCGGCGCTGAACTCGGCTGGAAGGGCGGCACGAAAGCGAGTGTCACTAGTGCGAAGGTGAAAAATGAGGTCCTCAGCAGTGGTAAACGAGGACAGGTCTGGGAACAGATAGGGTAGCATGAGCCGACCTAGGGCTGCAGTAGCCGGGGAGGAGTAGCGCGCAACTACAGCGTCATATAGTGCCTTAGCAGTTTTGTGCTGGCTGAAATGCGCGCGCTCAGTGATCGGCAGATGATTTCGAACAGCTAGGCGTGCAGCAGCATCGCGAGTCTGCCACTGTGAGCGTTCGAGAGCGGTAGCATCGTCAGCAGGAGCAACGGCAATGCCAGACGCGTAATCGAACAGTGAAACGCCGTCTTTGGCATCAGTCAGAAGAAACAGTTGGAGATCGTCCAGCCACGTGGTAAACTCTATCGGGCGACCGTCAGGCTCAAACGCGAGAACATTAAGTGTCTCCATAATCGCAATGGAGGCAAAGGCAGTAGGCAGCAGGCAGCAGGCAAAGGGCGTGAGCAGCAAAGGGCGGAGGAAGGGCAGTACGAGGGCTGCTCGGGCAGTACGAGGGCTACTAAGGCAGCACGAGGGCTACTAAGGCAGCACGAGGGCTGTTAAGGCGGTGGAAGGGCTGTTAAGGCAGCACGAGGGCTGTTAAGGCAGTGGGAGGGCTGTTAAGGCAGCACGAGGGCTGTTAAGGCAGCACTAGGGCTGTTAAGGCAGTGGGAGGGCAGTACGAGCACTGTTAAAGGCAGTGGGAGGGAAGTGCGCGGGGGTGACGAGGCAGCGGGCGGGCTGTGCGGGCGTCGCATGGGGCTGACGAGGCAGCGGGCTGGCTGCGCGCTCGCGGGTCAGTACAAGCAGTGCGAGGGCTGAGAGGCGGCGCGCGGGGCAGTAGAAGGCAGCGCGAGGGCTGCGGAGCGGCACGCGGGGCAGGAGAAGGCAGCGCGAGGGCTGCGGGGCGGCGCGCGGGCCTAACGAGGCAGCTAGCGTGCTACGCGCGGGGCTGACGAGGCAGCAGGCGGGCTGCTAGCGGGCTGCACGAGGGCCAGCAGATGCGAGCGCGAGGGCTGCGCGACTCAGGGCAGTGTAGGCAAGGGGCGGGGTAACGCGGTAACCGACGGAAAACGGTTGGTGGGCCCTGAATAACAGTCCTAAAACGGTCATAAGGACCTATTTTGCTCTTAATACCATGTCGAGAGTAAGGAAAGGATAAGGGTGGTTGCACTATCGAGAAAGTTGGGTACAATTAACAAAACCTATACCCTACATTAGCTACCCCACTAAAGCCTTCATTTTATTATGACATAGGCATATAGTTTGACAACCTGCTCCCAGAGAGCTTGCAGCGTGAGACATAACGATATACGGTACTACTACATATGTTATGCGGGTGGATTGGATCCATTCATGATGTTCCACAATGCAAGGACGTGCGGCGTGCCCTACCCTATCTCAGCAGTGCAGCAAGCACTGCCCCCCTCAATGATGCTCGCAGTTACCGGTACAACAAGCACTTGTTGGATGCTTGCTTCCCTTATTCGCCCACCCTCCCTGATAGGCAAAGCTTTGGATCACTGCCTGTTGCATTGTTCAAGGTGCACTTAAAGCCCTCCGTGACAGGCATAGCCTGCTTACTGCGAAGCTTCAAGCGCCTTCAAACTTCCCTCCTTGTGAAGCAGAACATCTCCGTCCCCTGCTGTGGCTGTTGCTGCATAGTCAACTAGAGTCAACTGGCGGGTCAACCAGGGCAAACTCTCGCAGGTCAACACCCAAATCAACTAGAGTCAGCCGGAGTCAACCAGAGTTCAGGCGGGTCAAACAGATCCCTCAAGCTTCACGTGCGCATCTGCTGTATGAGGGCCATAGGGCATGAGACCATGAGGGGATGGGGTCACAGGGGCATGGAAGCATGTAGGCACAGGGACGCGGAGCAAGTTGGTGAAGGGACAAGTGTAGGCATGACAAGTGATGACTTTTGAGGCGCTTCAAAGGCCATGGAAGCATGGAGGCACAGGGACACGGGTCAAGTTGGTGAAGGGACAAGGGCAGGCATGACAAGGGGTGGACAAAGGGAGGGGGTAGAGACTCTCCATGTGTGTGAGTGTGTGAGTGTGTGTGTGTGTGTGTGTGTGTGTGTGCATGTGTGCGTGTGAGTGCGTGACAGTGCACATGTGTCCATACACTGAGATTCACCACGCTGTGTCGTTCAGCTGTGCAGAAACACACACACGGTCCAGTCATGTTGGTCCACTCACACCGCCCTCACCACACGCACCCCACTCCGTTGCCAGTCTGGAAAGTCTCACCAGGGGCGCACCTCTTGAAGCCGAAAAAATTCTCAACAGCCAGCCGCTCTTACGATTAAAAAACAGCTAGCAGCCCTCCCAGTTGCACCTACAACAAAAGCCTTCATGAGGCACTCATAACACCGACAGCCCACCCTGCACCCTGCACCGACAGCCCACCCTGCACACACCTTTGTCGGGTGGTCTGGATCATGAAGGGCGGTGAGCCTGGCAGCAGCCCTCCCCTCCCCAGATGCACCTACGCTACACCGTCCGCCCTCACAAGCCACACTCTGCACGCACCTTTGTCGGGTGGTCTGAGAAAGTCTGCATCATCGGCATTCATGAAGGGTGGTGAGCCTGGTAGCAAGCCCAGCATGTGGCCGCCTGGGGCAGGGGAGGGAGTGCAGGAGGGGCAGGAGGAGCAGGAGGGGCAGGAGGGGCAGGAGGGGCAGGAGGGGCAGGAGGGGCAGGAGGGATAATTGGGGAAGGGGTGGAAGCATGGGGAAACTTTAGCACAGGGTCAGCATTGCCGGCATGGCGTTCATGAAAGGTGGAGAGCCCGGTAGCAGCCCCAGCATGTGGCCGCCTGGGGGAGGAAAGGGCGGGCAGGAAGGGAAGGAGGGGCAGGAGGGGAAGAGTGGAGGCATGGGAAAGCATAGGTGGGGCTGATTGGCATGTCAGCATCGTCGGCATTCATGAAAGGTGGAGAGCCCGGCAGCAGCCCCAGCATGTGGCTCAAAAGTCTCCCCACAGCGAGGAGAGGGCCTGAAGGAGGAGAGGGTCTGGGGGAGGAGAGGGCCTGGGGGAGGAGAGGGCGGGCAGGAGGGGCAGGAGGTGCAGGAGGGGCAGGAGGGGCAGGAGGGGCAGGAGGGGAAGGAGGGGCAGGAGGGGCAGGAGGGGCAGGAGGGGCAGGAGGGGAGGGAGGGGAGGAGGGGCAGGAGGGGCAGGAGGGGCAGGAGGGGCAGGAGGGGCAGGAGGGGAAGGAGGGGCAGGAGGGGCAGGAGGGGCAGGAGGGGCAGGAGGGGAGGGAGGGGAGGAGGGGCAGGAGGGGCAGGAGGGGCAGGAGGGGCAGGAGGGGCAGGAGGGGCTGGAGGGGATGCATGGGGAACCACAAGTTGGGGTTGCTGATTCCCTAGTGGAGCGGATAAACACGTGGACTGTGGTGCAAGCCATGCATGTTTGTGCTCATGGCTTCTCTCTCCTCTCTCTCTCTACCTTCCCGCATGCACCCAATTCCCCCAGCTCACGCTCGTGTGTGCGTGCGTGCGTGCGTGCTTGCGTGTGTGTGTGTGTGTGTGTGTGTGTGTGTGTGTGTGTGTGTGTGTGTGTGTGTGTGTGTGTGTTCCGTTTCTTGCCTTCACCCTTCCTTGATGTTTCCCTTCCCCCACTCCCCATGCTCCCCTCTCCCCACCTCCCACACCCCTCACCTTCGCTTTGAGGCCCGGGGTTTTTTTTTAGGTGGCTCAAAAGTCTCCCCACCCCACAACCCCCACCCCCCTCGCCCCACCTCCCACACCCCTCACCTTCGCTTTGAGGCCCGGGGAAGTCTGCAGTCAAGTCAGAGAGGCTGAAGTTTCTTGGAAGGTGCCCCAGCAACCCCAGGGCGACTTCCCTGGGAACAGCAGCAGAGGGTTGCTGTGCGCCTGTGCTGTCATGCATGCCTGTACTGTCCTGTGCCCCTGCGCCTGTCCCATGCACCCCTGCCCCTCTGCTTGACGGGCCATGGTCGTTGTGGTTGCTGGGGTCATGTCGATCAGTGGCTGCCATTAAATCGCCATGCCCATGCCCATGCCCATGCCCATGGCCATGGCCATGGCCATCCGTTGAGTGCCGCTGATGATGCTGATGCTGCTGCTGCTGCTGCCCGTGGCTACTATGGCTATGATGGTGATGGCTGTGTGAGTGGTTTGTGTCCATACTAGCATGATGCTCGTGGGGGTGCTGATGCTCCTGCTGATGGGGATGATGTGGATGGTGGTGGTGATGTGGATGGTGATGTGATCCTTGCTGGTGTCCTGCCTCCCCTCCACCATCCCCATCCCCCTCTCCCCGAGATCCAAACGCCGCCTCGTGATTGGTCGAATTCAGAGCAAGAGAGGACGAGAATGGACCTACATCTAGAGCCGTCAACCCCATACCCATACCCATGCCCATGCCCATGCCCATGCCCATACCCATCCCCATCCCAATGCCCATGCCCACGCCCATGCCTATACCCGACAGATCAACCGAGCCAAACGGAAATGCCATGTCACTCCCGTCACTGTCCAGCTCCGCAGCACCGCCCACGCCTGCCATGTCATCATCATCCTCACTCGCCCCCGCCCTTCCTGCCCCTCCTTCTCCTCCGCCCCCTCCTTCTCCTCCTCCCCCTCCTCCTCCTCCTCCTGCCCCTGCTCCCAACGCCTCCTCCCCACCCCCCTCCTCCATGCCCACGTCTAGATCCAGATTCTCCCCATCCTCCCCTTCCATACCCTCCACTGGCTCAAGCTTCAGCATCCCCCCCATGCCCATTCCCCCCGTCCCCCCCATTCCCCCCGTCCCCCCCATGCCCCCCATGCCCCCCATGCCCCCCATTCCATCCTCTCCCCCCATCCCCACCCCTCCTTCCGCGAATCCCCCCATCTCCACAGCCTCTCCTCCCCCCGCGCCTGCACCATCCGCGACTAGAGCCCCCATCTCCCCCCCCTCTGCCCTTCCAGCCCCCGCCCCCCCTGCTGCCCCCATCTCCCCCTTTGCATCGAACCTCCCTGCTGCAGCACCAGCAGCAGCGGAGGTATTTGAAGCATGGGCCATATGGGTCATGGCATGTGCATGGGCATGGGCATGCGGATGGGCATGCGCATGGGCATGGGCCATCCCATGTGCATGGGCTTGCATCGCCGCAGCATGAGCATTAGCAGAGGACGGAACCCCTATCACCGCCATCTCACTCCCTCCCCCCCCACCATTCCCCCCACCACCACCACCACCGCCACCACCACCAGCAGCAGAAGCAGGGTGGGAGTGGGGGTGGGCGTGCGGGTGGGGGTGAGCGTGGGGGTGGGGGTGCGGGCCAAAGGGGAGCATGTGCGGGGGAAGCATTCCGGGCATCATGGGGGGAGGCATGGGCGCGCCTGGGGGAACGTGGGGGGGCATGTGGGGGGGATGCTGGCCTGGGGGAAGCATGGAGTAGGGGTGGTGGAGCATGTGGGGGGGGTGGTGCGGGTGGTGGGGGTGGTGCCCTGCTGCTGCTGCTGCGGCAGCGGCTGCGTGTGGGTGCATGAAAGGGGGAGCTGCGCCGTGCACTGTTGGGGGGGAGGGAAAGGGGGGAAAGAGGGGGGAAGGGCGGATGGGACAATAGGGGAGGGGGGAGGATGTGGCATTCAAGAGTGTGGGCAAGGGCTGGGTGGGTAAAGGGTGTGGGGCGGGGAGCAATGGAGGTATAAAAGGTTGAAAAAGGGGGCAGTGGGCGAAAACAAGGGCGCAGGCAAAGGACAGTGGAGAGAGATGAAGAGGGGAGATAGGGGAGTGGAAGTCCCTTGCAAACACATATAGAGGATCATGAACCGATTGCCTCCACCTTCCTAGACTGCAAGATCCTTCTTCACCTCCTCACTCCATTCGACGTCTCTCCTTCATACCCCTTCCAACCACACTCCTCACCATCCTCACACTCCTCTCCATCCTCACACTCCTCTCCATCCTCACACTCCTCTCCATCCTCACACTCCTCTCCATCCTCACACTCCTCTCCATCCTCACACTCCTCTCCATCCTCACACTCCTCACCATCCTCACACTCCTCACCATCCTCACACTCCTCTCCATCCTCACACTCCTCACCATCCTCACACTCCTCACCATCCTCACACTCCTCTCCATCCTCACACTCCTCACCATCCTCACACTCCTCTCCATCCTCACACTCCTCTCCATCCTCACACTCCTCTCCATCCTCACTCACTGGGAGGGCCTCGCATGGACGCAGGGACACCAGGCACGGGCGCTCCGGCAGAAGCAGCGGCCGCGTTCGAGGCAGCATGGACTGGCGAGGGAGCAGGGGTCGCCGAAGCTGCTGCAGCAGAACCAGCAGCAGCAGCTGCACCGGCAGTCGCACCACCAGCAGAGGCACCCGTAGCACCGGTGCCAGCAGCAGCGCCTGTAGCAGCAGCAGCAGCAGCTGACGCAGGAGCAGAAGCACCCGAAGCTGCCGCTCCAGCTGTAGCAGCCGCAGAAGCTGCCGCCCCAGGGGTGGAGTGCGATGCGGAGCGGTGGAGGCGCTGGGCGCGCACGGCATGGGCGTGCTGTTCAAGCAGGGCATTGAACTGGTGGATCTGGTCCTTTAGGCGCAGCCGCATGTGGTAGGAACGGAAAAAGTCGGGATTCTGCTCCTCCAGCTTCTGCCAAACTGCGGTGGAGAGGGGTGCAGAGGGATGGAGAACACGGGGTGGTAACAGGGTGGAGTGTGCTGAACTGGTGGATCTGGTCCTTTAGGCGCAGCCGCATGTGGTAGGAACGGAAAAATTCGGGATTCTGCTCCTCCAGCTTCTGCCAAACTGCAGTGGAGAGGGGTGGAGAGGGGTGCAGAGGGATGGAGAACACGGGGTGGTAACAGGATGGAGTGTGCTGAACTGGTGGATCTGGTCCTTTAGGCGCAGCCGCATGTGGTACGAGCGGAAGAAGTCAGGATTCTGCTCCTCCAGCTTCTGCCAAACTGCGGTGGAGAGCGGTGGAGAGGGGTGGAGAGGGGTGCAGAGGGATGGAGAGCACCGGGTGGTAACAGGGTGGAGTGTGCTGAACTGGTGGATCTGGTCCTTTAGGCGCAGCCGCATGTGGTACGAGCGGAAGAAGTCGGGATTCTGCTCCTCCAGCTTCTGCCAAACTGCGGTGGAGAGCGGTGGAGAGGGGTGGAGAGGGGTGGAGAGGGGTGCAGAGGGATGGAGAGCACGGGGTGGTAACAGGGTGGAGTGTGCTGAACTGGTGGAGGAACGGAAAAAGTCGGGATTCTGCTCCTCCAGCTTCTGCCAAACTGCGGTGGAGAGGGGTGGAGAGTGGTTGCAGAGAGGGGTGGAAAGGGATGGAGAGTGGTGGAGGCGGGTGGGGAGGGGTGGAGAACAAGGGGTGGTAACTGGATGGGCACAGAGGAAAGGAAGGAAGGTGAGATTCGTCAGAAGGAGCGCGCAGTGAGGCGGATGAAAACACGGATGGAAGAAATACGGGGTTCGGGGTTTAAGGATGTGGGATGGATGGGAGAGAATCGAAGCCCACAAATGAAAGCAAAGCAAGTACGCAAATGGGTAGCCCTGGTAGCAAAGCAAGAAATGCTCATTACATTCTCTTGATTTCAGCAACAAAAGGATGCGATCAGCAGTAGGGCAGCCATACTGTCAGACAGTCAGCAGCAGTCCGTCCGTCCATACGTCCGTACGTCCATCTGTCGGTCAGTCAATCAGTCCATCACTTAGCCTGTCACTCACTCACTTAGCCAGTCAAATAGCCCGTCAGTCAGTCAGTCAGTCAGTCAGTCAGTCAGTCAGTCAGTCAGTCAGTCAGTCAGTCAGTCAGTCAGTCAGTCAGTCAGTCAATCAGTCAGTCAGTAGGTCAGTAGGTGAGAGACAGTGAGTGAGTGAGTGAGTGAGTGAGTGAGTGAGAGAGAGAGTGAGGCAGTGAGAAAAACGCACCGAGTTTGGTGAAGCCTGGTTCGATCTTGGCCTGGTACTGCAGCGTGGACACCACCTCCCTCTGACTCATGTACAGCTGCAAGCACCGCTCGATCAGGTTCTGCACCTGCCAGTGGCGTCAACAGTGAAAACAGCGACACGGAATAGTGATAGTGAGGAGAGAGAGGCGAATGAGAAGAAGGGTGACTCATGTATTGCTGTAAGCACCGCTCGATAAGGTTCTGCACCTGCCAGTGGCGCCAACAGTGCACCCACCCGGTAACATGGAATAACAATCGGAGTGGAGAATGTGGCGGAATGGAGAATGTGGCGGAATGGAGATAAAAAGAGGGGTGACTCATGTACAGCTGTAAGCAGCACTCGACACACCTGCCAACCATGCCAGCAGCAACATGGGATAGGATCAAGAAAAGGATGGGGCGTAATGGGGTTAGAAGAAGGGTGACTCATGTATAGCTGTATGCAACGCGTAGTCAGATGTTGCACCTGCCAACAGCAGCACCACGAAAGGGGGTTCTTCATTCATACTTAGGTTTCGGGCAGAGCTCAATCATTTTTTTTCACCTGACAATAGCAGGTGGTAAAACTGAGCTGGTCGCACATTTCCCAACCAGCTCAGGTTAATCTCGTTATGATCCAACCCGTTTGAAGCCCTACCAGCTGAATGTCCTCGCAGGATATCTTCCTCCCCTCAGACGGCGCCTGCTGTGCTGATGACAGCGATGATGACGTGGCAGGCTTCGTGCACGCTGATGTGGATGGAGAGAGCACCGCCGTGGCACCAGTAGGAACACTGGCCGCAGCACCAACACCTGCAGCAGCAGAAGCACCACCGACAGTAGCAGCACCACCAGCGCCAGCGGCAGCAGTGGGCGCAGTGGTAGCAGCAGGTGCAGGGTCCGTAACGGCCATGGGCTTGGCGGCTGTCGCAGCAGGAGATGTGGCAGTAGGGGCGGAAGCTGATGGAGGGGAACCACCACCGCCGGTTCCTGCTACTGCTGCCCCCCCACCGCCAGATTTATTCCCTGCTGCTGCTGCTGCTGCTGCGGGTGCTGCTGCTGCTGTTGCTGGGGTTGCTGCTAGTGGTGGTGGTGGTGGTGGTGGTGGTGTTTTGGTTTTTGCAGCGGGAGACGTGGCGGGAGCAGCTGGGGGGGATCTGGCGGGGGACGCGGGGAGGCCTTCCACTGACGCGCCCGCGCCAAGCGCTGCAGCAGCAGCGGCGGCGGCGGCTGCAGCAGCGGCACTTGGCGGCTTCGCAGACATGGATTGGCGCTTGCAGATTGATGCTTTGATGGCTTGACGCTGGGGGCTTGGCAGTCGAGTCTCGGCGTTCGGCGTTTAGAAATTGTGGTTGACGTTCAGGGTTTGGACAAGGATAGCTTATGGCACGCACCGGCTCATGCCGCCAGTCTTTGGGCGATGCGGTTCGCCATGAAAATACCTTAACTCTCACCTCGCAACCTATTGCTATGAGGCGAAACGGAACCTCGTCGTGTTTAGCGATTGCTAAACCTGAAAGAGAAGGTGCATCTATTCTAAAGGTGTACAGTAATCAGCAATAGAATGCCACTGGCTCGGGACTAGAATGAGAAGCCTGGGCAGATGCCGAGAAAGGTACCATGCCATAATGTCACATGTCATGATGACATTGTAATGTCTCGATGCTCTAATGTTGTAGTATCTTCCCAAACTGGCAGAAGGATGGGCCCATGCACGAGATTTCTATCTCACGTGTCATGACCGCCGAATTATCATTGTCCCTTCTCGGATGTCGTGGATAGAGAACTGAAAGTAAGAGTCGAACTCAGATTACGCAGCAATAAAATCCTTTTACGAAAGAGTGGATGGAAGGAGGAGGATCAGAGTCTAGCGAGACATTTTTACATACTAATAAACAGGTTTTTATTGGCGGTGGTTTTTTTTGGCGGAACCTGCTTAGGGGATAAAGGGGGAAAGGCGGAAGGTGCACCGCAGCGCACCGAGAAGCAACAGTACGAGGGCTAGAGACTAGAGGTAGGAGTAACGCGATGGTTACAGTACTGGGAGGGACACGTGGGGCCTGATAAGTCCCTTGTTGGAAATCGTATATTCGCCTGAGGGTAGGTTGCGAATTTTGAAGTTTATGATTTCGCAGCACTAGGGCGTGGCAGACTCGCTGCAGTTCTCACCATCGCCGCATCGCTCATTGATGTTTTTTTGGAGGTTCCGTGGTTTTGTGCAGGAACCTAATCGCCTGCCTAATCCTAACGTTACAGCACAAGCCTGGATCGTCAGTTGTCCCTCTTTTATCCCGTGGGGTGGGGCCATCCAGCTAGCCTTGGGAACATCCAGCCTGGAGAAACAGAGCCTTGGGAACATCGTGCCAGTAAACCAGACAGCCTTGGGAGCGTCGTGCCAACAAAACAAGACGGCCTTGGGAATATCACGCCTTGGAAACAGCCTTGCACTGCACAGCCTTGCCAAAGACGGTCTGGTCTGGGCGGGAGGGAGGAGACTGGAGGAGCATACATTGCTGCCAAAAATTGGCAGCGCGGACAATTTCGTCGAGCAAAAACCCCTCAGTTTCATTCGGAAACCCCGCTCCGTTGCCTTCCTCCTCGAAGCCGATTCGCGAAGCCACTTTTCCAACCTGCCCACCCTTCAAATTGCCTTTTGGAACCTCAAACGCCATGTGGCTCGTTCGTCGAGCCAATTAACGGTGCGAATGATGCGCCGCCGAGCAACTTTGCCGTGGATCCACGTCAGTCTGAGCCACTCTCTCCCAGTATCATGCATCCCATACAGAACTGCCCAGTACACTGCGAGAATGCTGACAGGTGCAGGTCTACGGAACTGTTCACTGAATGACGACCGCTATGTAATGCACTCCCATCAATGTGGTGTGCACTCTTCAAATACCACAAATAAGAGTTACGTCAAATGAATGAAACAGCTACCTTTAAAAATCGTTTTCATACATTTCATACAATGCCCTTGGAGTTTCATGAGTGATGTTGTTCATTGAAATATAAAAATCCATAGCGTAAATCTTCTTCACCCTCTCATATGTATCCTGTAGTGCAAACAAATACACAGGAGAGGATGAGCGGAGTGGAATGGATGGAGGAGGTGGGCAAGACAAGGGAAAGAGAGGGGTGAAGCGAGTTGAGAAAAAAGGCCAGGGACACGGGAATGGGCAAGAGTGAGGGAAAAAAATGAATACGCACCTTGTCATACAGCTTCGCGAGGCGCCGATCCGTATCCGTGAAGTGCGCCCCTTTGCCGAACCTAAACACGTCCAGGTGCTCGCCGCCGAACCTGTCGATCACCGTCTTGACATCCTCCTCCAGGTGCTCGAATCGCCCCACGAAGTCGTACTTGATGGAGCCCAGTGCACAGATGTCTTCTTGTGGCGCCAGGTGGCGGTCCATGTCAGCGCGGTGACTGGCCAGCAGCTTGCCAACAAGGCGGACGAAATCCGGGAAGGAGACAAGCCCTGTGTTGTCCTTGACTGCCTCGTACATGGGCTTCACTGCGTGGAAGAAGGCCTGTGGGATGGAAGCGGGCATAGGGGGACGACAGATTTAGAGAAGTAGATAGTCCACGGGTGGGTACACACGATTCTGACTGTGCTGCGCTTGACTGCCTCGTACATGGGCTTCACTGCATGGAAAAAGGTCTGTCCAATGCCGTGGAGGGGCACAGGGGGAGAATTTTGCGTCGACTCAAAAGTCACTTGGCTGCGCTTGACTGCCTTGTACATGGGCTTCACTGCATGGAAAAAGGCCTGTCCAATGCAGTGGAGGGGCACAGGGGGGTTGGAAAACAGTTGCTATGGTGGGAAGTCATTTGAGGAACAGGGGCACAGGGCATGGGGTACAGGGTGAATGAACACAAAACAGCCATACAATGCGCCAGGCAGGCACTCACGTTGCTCCAGTACTGGCGGGTGCCCCAGCCGGTGCCGGTCTTGAGCTTGGGTCGGTCGGTGCGTACGAGCTTGTTGGAATAGGCCGAGGCAATGCGCGAGAAGGGGTTGCGCACAAAGGTGAACTTGAAGAAGTCCGGGCGGGTCATGAGGCGGATCTGGGAAGGAGGAGAGGGGAGAGGGATGGGGGCGACGCTTGAGGCGACTCAGAAGTAACTTCGACAGTAGAGAAGGGGCTGAAGGGGTTGAGACGGGGCTGCACACAACACAAAGCTGCACACAACACAAAGCTGCACCTGAAGAAGACCTTCAGTGCTTGCACTGATGCATCATGAGTCGTGCCTGCCCGCCCGCTTGTGCAGCCCTCACTGCTTCTCGTTTGCAGCACGTGATAAAACGCCCCTACTGGCTCAACACGACAATAACCCCCAGCCCCCCCACCACCTCCCACCCCCCCCACCACCTCCCAGCCCCCCCACCACCTCCCAGCCCCCCCACCACCTCCCAGCCCCCCCACCACCTCCCAGCCCCCCCACCACCTCCCAGCCCCCCCACCACCTCCCAGCCCACCCACCACCTCCCAGCCCCCCACCACCTCCCAGCCCCCCACCACCTCCCAGCCCCCCCACCACCTCCCAGCCCCCCCACCACCTCCCAGCCCCCCCACCACCTCCCAGCCCCCCCACCACCTCCCAGCCCACCCACCACCTCCCAGCCCCCCCACCACCTCCCAGCCCCCCCACCACCTCCCAGCCCCCCCACCACCTCCCAGCCCCCCCACCACCTCCCAGCCCCCCCACCACCTCCCAGCCCCCCCACCACCTCCCAGCCCCCCCACCACCTCCCAGCCCCCCCACCACCTCCCAGCCCCCCCACCACCTCCCAGCCCCCCCACCACCTCCCAGCCCCCCCACCACCTCCCAGCCCACCCACCACCTCCCAGCCCACCCACCACCTCCCAGCCCCCCCACCACCTCCCAGCCCACCCACCACCTCCCAGCCCACCCACCACCTCCCAGCCCACCCACCACCTCCCAGCCCACCCACCACCTCCCAGCCCACCCACCACCTCCCAGCCCACCCACCACCTCCCAGCCCACCCACCACCTCCCAGCCCACCCACCACCTCCCAGCCCACCCTCCTAGCCCACCCACCACCTCCCAGCCCACCCACCACCTCCCAGCCCACCCACCACCTCCCAGCCCACCCACCACCTCCCAGCCCACCCACCACCTCCCAGCCCACCCACCACCTCCCAGCCCACCCACCACCTCCCAGCCCACCCACCACCTCCCAGCCCACCCACCACCTCCCAGCCCACCCACCACCTCCCAGCCCACCCACCACCTCCCAGCCCACCCACCACCTCCCAGCCCACCCACCACCTCCCAGCCCACCCACCACCTCCCAGCCCACCCACCACCTCCCAGCCCCGTGAAATCAACACGGCCTGTTCTTCGGTGAAATCAAGAGCGACCTCGTGCAGGCCCCACTGCTTCTCGTTGAGCACCAGGAGTGGGTCCAAGGAGGCCCCCCACTGTCAGAACAGGACAGAACCCCAGTCCAGCCATCATCTCCCAGCGCGACTCACCGCCTGTTCTTCTGTGAAGTCCAAAGCCAGCTCGTGTAAGCCCCACTCCTTCTCGTTGAGTGCCAGCAGCGGGTCCTCTGGGTTGGGCAGGCCCAGGCGCGCCCTCAGCCACATGAGCCACGAGTTGCACGCCACCTTGGGGATTGCGCAGTAGACCAGCTTCAGGGACTCTGAGAGTGGATGGGTGGAATGGGAGTGGGGAATGAGGTATGAGGATGGGTGGGGGGATGCAGAGGGCAGGCGCAGGCGCCCCCTCAGGCACATGAGCCACGAGTTGCAGGCCACCTTGGCGATGGCGCAGTACAGCAGCTTGAGGGACTCTGAGTGGGGCAGAGGGTGTGGGTGGGGAGAGGGGTGGGGATACAATGGAGCATCGCTGCAGCCACATGAGCCACGAGTTGCAGGCCACCTTGGCGATGGCGCAGTACAGCAGCTTGAGGGACTCTGAGCGGGGCAGAGGGTGTGGGTGGGGAGAGGGGTGGGGATACAATGGAGCATCGCTGCAGCCACATGAGCCACGAGTTGCAGGCCACCTTGGCGATGGCGCAGTACAGCAGCACACCAGCTACAGCCTTCAGGGACTCTGAGAGTGGATGGGTGAATAGATGGGTGGGTGAGCGAGCGGCAGCAGGGGCCAGGTCAAGGGTCTAGAATTTAGAGTCTAGAGACTAGGGACTAGACTTCAGTGCCTCTCACCTTCGATGATGGTGAAGCGAGCCAGTTCCTAGGGGGTCGGGTCTAGGGCTTAGGGCTTAGAGGCTAGCCATCAGTGCCTCGTACCTTCGATGATGGTGAATCGAGCCAGTTCCTAGGGGGTCGGGTCTAGGGCTTAGGGCTTAGAGGCTAGCCATCAGTGCCTCTCACCTTCGATGATGGTGAATCGAGCCAGTTCCTAGGGGGTCGGGTCTAGGGCTTAGGGCTTAGAGGCTAGCCATCAGTGCCTCGTACCTTCGATGATGGTGAAGCGAGCCAGTTCCTAGGGGGTCGGGTCTAGGGCTTAGGGCTTAGAGGCTAGCCATCAGTGCCTCGTACCTTCGATGATGGTGAATCGAGCCAGTTCCTAGGGGGTCGGGTCTAGGGCTTAGGGCTTAGAGGCTAGCCATCAGTGCCTCGTACCTTCGATGATGGTGAATCGAGCCAGTTCCTAGGGGGTCGGGTCTAGGGCTTAGGGCTTAGAGGCTAGCCATCAGTGCCTCTCACCTTCGATGATGGTGAATCGAGCCAGTTCCTAGGGGGTCGGGTCTAGGGCTTAGGGCTTAGAGGCTAGCCATCAGTGCCTCGTACCTTCGATGATGGTGAATCGAGCGAGCTTCTGCTGGGTGAGCGGCAGCAGGGGCGGTGAGTCACAGACGGGGCGCTGCACGCGGAAGAGGTCGGAGCGGGCGGCGCCGTGGGCGGCGATGAACATGGCTTGTGGCGAGGCCAGGCCGGCCTTTAGGGAGATGAGTCCTCGGGTCATGCTGAGCGCAAACAGCTCCACTGCCTGTGTGATGGGGGGAGTGGGAGGAGGGGGAAAGATACAGTTGACCAGGTGGCTCAAACACACGTCCATGGGCAGTGATGAACATGGCTTGTGGCGAGGCCAGGCCGGCCTTCAGGGAGATGAGTCCTCGGGTCATGCTGAGCGCAAACAGCTCCACTGCCTGTAATGCGACGGAGGAGGGGGGGGAAGCACAGCCGGATCCATGTTCTCCGCATCTGCATTCCATTGTGCTCGCATAGACGCACCCACCCATACGCACCCACCCACACGCACCCACCCATACGCACCCACCCACACGCACCCACCCATACGCACCCACCCATACGCACCTGCAGGCGGACACAGAGCATGAGATCATCAGGTGACAGGCTCTTCTTCCTAAGCAGCTGCCTCACCTCCGTCCCGTTTCCCCCTCCCGTTCCATTCCCTCCCACTATTAACCTTACTCCATTATCCGCAACAGCAGCACCGTTCCCATCCACTCCTTCCCCCACTTCTCCGGCTCCTCCTCCGTTACCTCCTCCTCCTCCCGCCCCTCCACCTCCCTTCCTCCACTCCTCCACCCCGACTTTCCCCAAATCCGCCCTCTCCCCCTTGGGACACGTGGCAGCGCGCGATTGGGTGGCTTGCAGCACGAACGGCGCGCGGGAGGGGTGGAAGGTGTCGGTAATCCGGGCGGCGTTGAGGGCGGTGCGGGCGGCGAGGGCGAAATCTAGCGAGGGGCGCTTGAGAAAGGACATGGCGAGGCGGCGCGTGGCACAGAGGTGGGGAGAGGAGGTGGCGGATATGGGGCACCCGGGACAGCCGTCCAGTGAGAGGTCCTGAGTAAAGTTTTGTGAGAGGGTGATACGAGGGCAGAAGGAGAGACCAGGGGAGGGGCCAGAGTGACTATTGAGGCGCCTCAAAAGGAGAGGAGGTGGCGGATATGCGGCAGCCGGGCCATCCGTCTAGTGAGAGGTCCTGAGGGGTTGTGGGCAAGTGTGTGGGAGGGAGGGCAGGGAAAGGGGGGGAGAGGACGTGGGCTTTTTTCGCCTTGGCAGTGGAGACCTATGGAGCCCACGCCCCGTCCACTGCGGCTTTCCTTAAGCTTCTCTCGGCCGCAGCAGCCCGGAACCGCTTCCGCGCCAACCAACCCCCCGGCCAAGACGGCGAATAAGGTGGCGCCCAGCCCACTTCCGGCAGCGCTGGGCAGTCATGTCATGCTCCAGCGCAGCCAAGCAAACGCCTTGCACGCAAAGGCGCGGGCGGGCATTGAAGCGGCACGGCACACCCGCAGGCTCCGGCGGACCCCTGGCCCCTGCAGCTAGGGGACCTCCTCCACGCCCTGGAGTAAGGGGAGGTGCTAGGGGGCGGGTAGATGTAGAGAGGTGTATTTGCATGTTCAACCTTCCGCTCTCCGTAGACCGTCTTGCTTGTACCAATCACCGCATTCATACAACGGACCGTTTGAGAGAGGGACGACAAATGGTTGGCTTTCTTGGATCACAGGAGAGAGGGAGACAGCAATCAGGCAACCGTAGACCAAGCGAGAAGAGGGAGTTTGAGTTCAGAAGCGAGGGCAGTGTGGGGTGATGGGCGCTTGAGGAAGGAGATGGCGAGGCGCAGAGGGGAGGAGAGGAGGTGGCGGATATGAGGCAGCCAGATATGGCAGTTGTTGAATTCCTTGGATTGAATTAGGAAGGAGGGGCGGCTATTGCGCAAGTTGAGAAGTGAGGGCGGAGTGGGGCGAGGGTGGAGCGGAGTGAGGGATGCTTGAGGGGCGCCTGTAGCAGCAGCAGTGCCGCGACAGGCAGGGCGGGGTGCAGCGTTGCCATGCATGTTGCCATGCATCTTGCCATGCATGCTGCCATGCATGCTGCCATGCATGCTGCCATGCATGCTGCCATGCATGCTGCCATGTTCCGAATCATAAGGCGCCCCAGGGAAAGGCAACTCACATCGAGGTAGAGGCCAAGGGCGGACTTGAGGTGACCCAGGCCCTCCTGCAGCAGCAGTGCTGTCACGGTCGGGGCGGGCTGCAGCTCTGCCTTTACAGGAGACTAGAAAGGGCACTCACGTCGAGGTAGAGCCCGAGGGCGGACTTGAGGTGACCCAGGTCTTCCTGCAGCGGCAGCTCAGCCACTGGCGGGGCTGGCTGCAGCGCTGCCTTCCAAAGAGCCTAATGAGTCGAGGTTGGAGGCGCCTCAAAAGTTGAGTGAGAAGGCAACTCACGTCGAGGTAGAGCCCGAGGGCGGACTTGAGACGACCAAGGCCCTCCTGCAGCAGCAGAACCGCGGCTACTGGCGGGGCTGGATGGAGCGACTTTTCAGGCGCCTCAAAAGAGACAGCAACTCACATCGAGGTAGAGGCCAAGGGCGGACTTGAGGCGGCCGACATCTTCCTGCAGGAGCAGATCGGCCACAGGCGGGGCGGGCTGCAGCGCTGCCATGCATGCCGCCATGCGGCGTTCGAATGCACATGGGTTCACCGCGTCCTGTGTCACACAGGTTGGGGGAAAGGGGGGGTGGGCAATGTGAGTGTGGGGAGGGACGTGGGGGGGAGTGCAGCAGCAGCTCGGCCACAGGCGGGGCGGGCTGCAGCGCTGCCATGCATGCTGCCATGCATGCTGCCATGCATGCTGCCATGCATGCGGCCATGCATGCTGCCATGCATGCTGCCATGTATGCTGCCATGCATCCTGCCATGCATGCTGCCATGCATGCTGCCATGCATGCCGTCATGCGGCGCTCAAATGCACACGGGTTCACCGCGTCCTGTGTCACAGGTAAGTGGGGGGGGGTGGGGGGTGGTCGTCAAGGGGGAAAAAGTGAGGTAAGTGCATGAGGGGAGGGCATGAGGGGAGTGCATGATTGGAGCACATGAGTGGAGTGCATGATTGGAGCGCATGAGGGGAGCGCATGAGGGGAGCAGCACTGCTGCCATGCATGCTGTCATGTGGCACTCAAACGCACACGGGTTCCCCAAATCCTGCCTCACACAGGTGGGAGGGTGATGGGGGAAGGGGTAGGGGAGTAGGGGTGGAGTGAGGGGGGAGAGTGAGGAGTGGGGAGTTGGGGGGAGGGGCGTGGGGAGGGAGAGCGGATTGTGGAAGTCGGTCTATAAAAAATCATAGAGTGTTTAAGTGGGAGAAGGGAGAGGTCATTCTAATTAGGAACTCTCACCATGCGGTTTGTGGGGAGCTGTCAAAAGGTGTGGGGAGCTGTCAAAAGGTGTGGGGAGCTGTCAAAAGGTGTGGGGAGCTGTCAAAAGGTGTGGGGAGCTGTCAAAAGGTGTGGGGAGCTGTCAAAAGGAGTGGGGAGGGAGAGCGGATTGTGGAAGTCGGTCTATCAGAAATCGTGGAGAGGGTAAGTGGGAGAAGGGAGAGGCTGAGCACCAAAACGTATCCCTTCGCACCTCACCAGTTCTCACATGCACACACACAGGCAGCAGTGCAGCACTCACCACGAGCCAGTTGATGGAGGCGGGCGAGAGGTACAGGCTGAGCGTGAGCGACTTGACTGGATCTTCCAGCCCACCTGCACCCTTGTGCACCCTCCTGCACCAAACCCTCACACTGAACTCACCACAAGCCAGTTGATGGAGGCGGGCGAGAGGTACAGGCTGAGCGTGAGCGACTTGACTGGATCTTCCAACCCACCTGCACCCTTGTGCACCCTCCTGGACCCTATGGCACCCTCCTGCACCGAACCCTCACACTGAACTCACCACAAGCCAGTTGATGGAGGCGGGCGAGAGGTACAGGCTGAGCGTGAGCAAGGCAACAGTGGCATTCTGAGAGGCGCCCCGCTTCTGACACCCGCGGATGGTCACCTGGCATGGGCGTGGCGGGGCGAGGGAGAGAAGGCGGAGGGGCCAGAGGGGAAGGGAAGGAGGGAGAGAGGAGGCAGGTGCTCAGTGCTCGAGGCAACAGCGGCATTTGGAGAGGCACCCCGCTTCTGACACCCGCGGATTGTCACCTGGCATGGGCGTGGCAGGGCGAGGGAGAGAAGGCGGACGGACAAGGGGGAAGAAGGGTGGGGTGGGGGGGTTGAATGCGGGCAGGTGGTCAGGCGGGCAGATGGGCAGGCGGGAACAGGTGCAGTGGGGGGGGGAATGGAGCCTGGAAAAAGGAAAGAGTGGGGTGCCAAGAGAAAGGGCGTGAATAGGGGGGCCAGTAAGACGAGAGGCCTCTCGATTCTTACCGGTCGGTGGGTGAGTGCGAGGAACTGACGCCAGTGAGCAGCCGTCTCATTCGCCTCCTCTACCCACACAAACCGCCCCGCACCCCTTCCCTTGCTTCCATCACCACCACCACCACCACCACCACCACCAACACCACCACCGCTGCTACCACTGCTGCCACTGCCGCCCCCGCCTCCAGTGCTGCTGCTGTTGGCTCCCATTCCTCCCTCTGTGACATTCCCAAGGTCCGTTACCCCTCTTGCCTCCACTCCACCACCACTGCTTAGCCCTTCCCCGCTCCCCCCGGCCCCCCCAGCAGCAGCACGCAAGGTCCGCCCTTCCACATCAGGAGGAGGGGGGGTACCAGAGGCGTCAGTGGCAGCGGCAGTTAGAGTGAAGAGGTCGGAGAAGCGGATGTGCGGCATGTAGGCATCGGGCACCCAGAGGGCGAGCGCCGTGAGGTTGGCTGCTGGCAGCAGGGCGGCTGCGGAACAGACGGATGACAGACGCGAGCCCAAATCGCCCTGGAAGGACGGAGGGAGGAGGGAGGAGGGGGGGAAGGGAGGGTGAAGGGGAGTGGGGGAAGGGAGGGTGAATGGGAGTGGGGGAAGACATGGCAGCGTCGAAGAACCAGAGGGCGAGCGCGGTGAGGTTGGCTGCTGGCAGCAAGGCGGCTGCGGCGCAGAGGGACAACAGATGCGAGCACAGCCTTGGAAGGAGAGGAGACGAAGGGGAGCAGGCAGAGGAGGTGGAGAAAAGGAGGGAGGAGAGGGAGAGAACACAAGTAAGGGCCGGGAGTGGTGAGGTTGGCAGATGGGAGAAGAGCAGGTGAGGAGCAGAGCCTAGGGCGGCTGGCACACTGCTACGAGTCGCATCTCCGCTTACCTCCGCTATAATCACAGCGTCGGGCGGCCGGCACACCGCCAGCTGGCCACGCTCCCGGCAGTATCGGCCCTGCCCCTGCTGACCCAGCCCCCAGAAGTCGTCCAATCCCCCGCTGCCACGTGTCCCATCGTCCAGGTCATCATAGCTGCCGGTAATGCGCGTCCGCGACGAACGCGCGACCCCGCCGTCATCGTCGTCATCGTCGCCGTATTCCACGGTGATCACTAGCAGCAATAAAAGCACGCTTAGGAGGCATAGTGTCATGATCCCGCGCCGCGTCCCTAATCGCCAGCTGCAATGCCATTGGCGGCTCGAGCTTCCGGTGGACTTGGTCAATGGCGCCACCATATCGAACGGCTATGATGTAGAGAAACAATTGCAATTAGGTTTCCATTTTGTTGTAAAGGTGTCGTCCTGTTGTTTCCTTGCTGACTGCCCAGCTAATGCAGGGAGCGTGTGTACTAGAAGCCCGTTGTACGCGATAAGGCGCGTTCACTAGTAGCTACCGCGAGAGCGGCACGGACCGTCGTTCGTGTGTCCACTGGACTCGGGAATACGTGGTGTACGGCTGACACCTGTCGGAGCAGATCCGCTCAACTGGCATTGATTGACCGTCTGTTAAAGCGAACCAAGAAAGCGCCAGGAGCAACCGACCTTGCGAGAAAGCACGCGTGTGCGTTCAAGCTAACGCCTTCACAGACCCAAGGATGTTGGCGTCGAGATTCGTAGTGCTCTCGTGTGGTGATTTGCTGAAGTTGTATCATGTGCAACAGCTCACATGATTTGAAGATGTTGTTACGACACTGCACTCGCTTCTAAAACGGTCACGCTCCAAGCTGAGAATTACAAGTTTTTGTCTTCAGCATCACTTAGGCTCCTAGATATGACCATTTCCTGCATAGATAAAGCTATCACAAGAATGGGAGCTTGTTTGCGCGACTCGGACCAACATCCATCGCCTGATCTCGGTGTCTCCAAACGTGTGGTGTGGATTTGAAAAACTCTCCCTCCAGAACCCAAATCCTGGAAAAGCATTCGTTGTAACATCTCTCACATATTGGTAATTGTGTTCCATATCTCTCACATAAATGCTCAAGCATTGAAGACTGTATATATGTACAGAATATCTTACAGAATATTCATCGAAGTGATAATCTACACAGTCTAAATATTATGCTGGAAAAAACATTTTTTACAATAAACAAGGATATTACGATGGATCCCATAACTTACGGCTGTACTTGCAAAATAACTAGTAGTAATTTATTCTATTTTGTCATGCCACATGAGTACAATAGTTCAGCATATCCAGCAAAAGCAATGGACAGTCAGCCTCTCAAGTTGTCCATCAGGCAGATTAGCGAAGCCCAAATTTCCTCGCAGGAGTCCTTGGGGCAATTTGGTTTATCACTGTTCCACATTCCGCCATCCCCCCATTCCCCCATTTCCCCACTACTGTTCCCCCAACTCCTCCCCAGATGTCCTCCATCCTCGCCCCTCGGTTTGACCTCATCACCACGCCTCCTCCTCCTCCCTCCCCTCTCTCTCCCTGCCACTCCTGCTTCCTCTTAGCCCCCATTCACTCCTAGATTTTCCTCTCTTCCTGCTAAGGAGATCTTTCCCCCTCCCTTGCTCCCTTCACCCTTTCCCTAGCCGTAGCGCGAAGCGTGCAGCCATGGCGCTGTCACAGAGGGAGGCGGATATTCAGATGATGCTCGCGGCGAAGGTGCACCTGGGCACCAAGAACTGCAACTACCAGATGGAGCGCTACGTCTGGAAGCGCGGCGCGGACGGTACGTCCGCCGTGTTTTTGTGATCTTAGCGGCGTGCAGTCCGGTTTGTGACACTGGTGTGCTCCTCGCCGTGTTAGCGCGCCGGCGTGGGTTCGCGATCGCGGCATTATTGACCGGAAACGCGCGTTAGGGTTTGGAGTGGGATCTAGGTTCCGAGGCTCGTGGAAGTAGAAATATTAACTTAAGCGCAGCAGACGCGGGTTAGCTTGTCGTGCATGCAGATGCTGTCGCAGGGGCGTGGACGATCCTAGGACGATTGATCAGATACTAATAGATTCGTGACCTGCTAGTATGAGAACTAGACCTTGCTTGGGATCAGCGAGCGAGCGGAGAGATTAGGAAGAGTAGGGATACGGGCGGGAGACCGGGGATCGTGCGGGAAATGGGGCGCTGTGGGAGGGTGTCCATGGTACCTTTTCTACACGTCTCGTGCTGCCCAAATGTCGAGGTGCCTACGACGGAGCAGACGTGCGAGTTTCCCCGGTTAGCTGTCTGCGACAGACACGGATTCGCCACTGCGAGGGTCGCAATCGCAAGAGATCATGATCGTGGCACGAAGTTGCAGGAGGATATCGTGGGGTGGAGATCGCAGTGGCGGGAGGTTGAGCAGGTTCTAAAGCTTTTTTTTTTTTTTTTCCGCGATGGAATTAGCCTAGAGAGTTGTTTGGTTGACGATCAGATGGACTTGGGGAATGGCGTTTCATCAGGCGTAGCAAACCTTAGGCTGACTCGGATTCTTGTCTCGTGAAAGGAGTAGCTAATTTTTCCGGAGCATTAGTAATTTAGAGCAGAATCGAGTTTAGAGCAATTCAAAGCGGTATATTTACTGTCCTCGAAGCTTTGCCTCGCCGGCTTCCGCGCATCTCCCAGAAATTGCCGATGACATGACGTGGCCCTCGTTTCCTCTTTCCCACTTCGCCTTCTCCCGCTGCCTCTAAATCGCCATTTTGCAAGATCCTCGCCGACCGTTCCATGCCGCCGGTCCCCTGCCGGCCGCCCATGGTCAGGCGTGTTTATTATTAACCTGGCCAAGACGGGGGACACGCTGCAGATGGTTTTCAAACACCTCTTCATTCTCCCACCTCCCTCCCTCCCCCCCCCTCCCCCCACACCCCCGCTTCCTTCCCCTTACCGCTCCCCCATGGCCAGGTGTGATAATCATCAACCTGGCCAAGACGGGGGACAAGCTGCAGATGGTTCTGCGTGTGTTTTGCGTCCTCTCCTCTCTGCCTCCAATCACCATTGTATCCTCCCTCCCCCCTCCCCCTTGTTCAGGTGTGTTCATCATCAACCTCGCCAAGACGTGGGACAAGCTGCAGATGGCGGCGCGCGTGATCGTCGCGATCGAGAACCCGCAGGACATTTGCGTGCAGTCCGCGCGGCCGTACGGGCAGCGCGCGGTGCTCAAGTTCGCGCAGTACACGGGCGCCAACGCCATCGCGGGCCGCCACACGCCCGGAACCTTCACCAACCAGCTGCAGAACAACTTCAGCGAGCCGCGCCTGCTCGTCCTCACCGACCCGCGCGTTGACCACCAGGTACGCCGTTGACCGCGCTGACCACGTGGACCCGCGTATCCGAGAAGTCCCGCCCTTCATTCTTACACCCGGCTTTCTCTAGTTTCTAGGCGCATAAGTTATACTCTCCCCTATACCTATCTCCCGCCCTCTTACTCTACCCCCGCCCCCCCGCCCCTGGTCCCCTTCTTCCCTTCCCTCCCTCCTTCCTCCCCCCTCCCCCCCCCCCCCCCTAATCCCCTCCCTCCCCTCATTCCCCGCTTCAATCTTTTCTCTCACTTTTAAATTTTCGTTTACGCCGAGTAGCCCACGGCTGAAGCGGCGTTGACCAGCATCCCCACTATTGCATTCTGCGATACGGACAGCCCGATGCGGTACCTCGACCTCGGGATCCCCCCTCACCCTCCATTCTTTCTGCCCCCATTGCTATCCCCTTTCCCCCCCTTCCCTCCCCGCCCTCCACCCCTCCCCCCCCCCACGCCCCCTCCCTTCCCCACCCCGCCGCCGCACCCCCGCCTCCCCACAACTCCGCCTACCCCCTTTCAGCCCACGGCTGAGGCGGCGCTGACCAACATCCCCACTATTGCGTTCTGCGATACGGACAGCCCGATGCGGTACGTGGACCTGGGCATCCCCGCCAACAACCGCGCGAAGCACTCCATCGGGTGCCTCTACTGGCTGCTGGCGCGCATGGTGCTGCAGATGCGCGGCTCCATCCTCCCCAGCCAGCCCTGGGACGTCATGGTGAGTCTGGGGAGGGGGTTTAAGGGTATTGGGAGGAGCGGGCGGGCGGGCGGGCGGGCGGGTTTATGGGCGGGTGGGAGGACTCGAATGGGTGCCGGTGCCGGTTGTTCGCGCGCATGGTGCTGCAGATGCGCGGCTCCATCCTGCCCAGCCAGCCCTGGGACGTCATGGTGAGTCGTCTTGAATGGGGGTGGGGATAATGGGAGGTGGGAGAGGGGGAGGCGGGAAGGGGCGAAGGGGAGGGGGGTTGAGGGAGAGGGAATCAGCGGGCGATGCGGACGGGGGAGGGAATGCGCGGGGTGAAGGGGACGGACGAGGGAATTCGGGGGGTCAGGGGGACGGGGGAGGGAATTTGCGGGTTGAGGAGGGCGGAGGGTGAGGGAAGGGAATGGGCCTCGGGTTGAAGCATCCAGTGAGTGTCTTGTTCTGGCCGCTGCGTGGTTTTGTGGACTGTCGTGGTTTTTTTGGATGGTGCTGTTGATGTGCGGCCAGGATGCAGCCTCGTAGCCACGTCTTCTGATGGGGTACAATGGGGTCGATTCCTGAGACGTTTCAGGTCGAGTTAGAACGCGTGAGGGGGTATTGGAAAGAGAATTCGGTGGGGAGAGCAAGGCGAGCAGGAGGGACGTGGATAGATAAGGGGTTGGCAGATCGGCAGACTGCACATGGCACATGGTGCACGTGGCGATATAGTGCCGATTGCAGTTACAGTAGCAGCAGTACCACTAGTAACAGTCACAGTAGCAGCTGTGTCAGTAGCAGCAGGAGCAGCAGCAGCAGCGCCAGCAGCAGTGGCAGTTGGAGGAATAGCAGGAGGAGCAATGGGAGGAGGAACAGAAGTAGCAGTAGCAGCAGCCGCAGTGGCAGCAGCTGAAGATACAGAAGCAGCAGCTGGAGTTTTAGAGGGAGGGGTGTGACTGGGTACGGAGCGGTGCTTAAATCTGTTGTAAGCAAGCGTTTTGCCAGAGACCACGACATCCCATTAGCTGTTGTTAATTCTGTGCTCCTCTTCGTTTCCTCCCATCCCCACGTTGTCCCGTTCTGTTATTGTCACGTCCGCTTGTTGTCACTCGCAGGTCGACCTGTTCTTCTACCGCGACCCCGAGGAGACCAAGGAGGAGCAGCCCGAGGAGGGCGCTGCGGCGGAGTTCGGAGCGGTTGAGTTCGGTGCTGTGCCCCAGATCGCCGAGGGGCAATGGGATGCTGCCGCTCCCACCGCTGACTGGGACGCTGCTGCTGCCGCCCCTGGTGGTACGTGCGATGGGGGGTTGGGGGGAGGGACGTTAGGGGTTGGGGGGAGAGACGTTAGGGGTTGAGGGGAGAGACGTTAGGGGTTGAGGGGAGAGACGTAAAGGGGTTAGGTGGTACTCGTTTCATAAGTGACTTCAATGGGATGCCGCCGCTCCTCTGCTGATTGAGTCGCTGCTGCCGCCGCCCCTGGTGCTACGTGTGGTGGGGGATTTGGTGGGGTAAGTGTGTTGGCCGGGTAAGGATGGTATTGGTAGAAGAGGGAGGGTTTCGGGGTTTGGCGGGGCTTAGACTTGACCAGGTCTGGCATGGGGGAATGCGCCTGCTGCTGCTGCTGCTGCTGCTGGCTTTGGGCCTAGTTTGTGTTGATGCTGCTGGAGTGCTGCCGGTAGTAGCTGGATTGCTGCTGCTGACTGATTGTTGCCGCTGATTTGCTTACTGCTGCTGACTTCACTGCTGCTGCTGCCAACTGGATTGCTGCTGCTGACTGGATTGCTCCTGCTGCTGACTTGACGACTGCTGCTAATTGGCCACACTTGTTTGTACGCAAACAAAGAAACCACTATGAGCCCACCTTTCCTTGCATGATGAGTGGGGTCACCTGTTGGGCATGCATACACAGAAACACGCACAGCTGGACATAACCCATCCTTTCCCTCCCACTTTCCCCTCCCATGCTATCACTCCCAACACTGCAGGTGCTGTGCCGGCTGTTGCTGGTGGCTGGGATGCTGCTGCCCCCCCTGCTGCGGGCGCTCCCCCTGCTGCCGTATCATCAGGCTGGGATGCCGCCGCTGCCCCCGTGCCTGGTGTGCCTGGGGCTGGCTGGGACGCTGCTGCCCCTGGAGGCTGGGAGGCTGCCCCTCCCCAGTAAACACCTTCTCCAGATGTGACCTTTCTAGTTGGTGTGCGTGCACACTGCAGCACCACAAGAATGCAGAAGGTCCCTTCCGCTGCTGTATTGATGTTTCGAATATCGAGGGAAGAGAGTTGTCTTGCAGGATACCCGTGCTTGTTTGTGATGCGCTTAAGAATGTAATAGAATATCCTGCTTCTGTTCCTGCAGCTCAGTAACGATCAACAAAAGGAATATTTGCTTCTAACAGTTATGCATACTTACAAAATTAGTCTTGGTGTTACATGTTATATCGAATCTAGATTTGAAGACCTGTTCCCATACCAACCGCTAACTGAGCAGTTATGTGGTTGGCCTGTATCCATTTCCTATGCACAGCCATAGCAGCGGGCTGTTGCTTATGTGGCGCGCATGAGGTGTTTGACTTGGCAGACACAGAGTACGCTGGGGCGTACGTTAGCCGCCGTCCACGTGCCACAACGACAACTAGTGGGACTGCACGGGGATAAGGCTGCTCCTCATCAAGCCAATGACAGCTACACCTAGTCCGCGGTATTTTAACCACGTGAACAGTTTCGCTTCAAACACCCTTTTTTCGTTTTCTGGTAATAGGATGGGCACCCAGAGACTTCAAGGCTATTGTTTTGCAGCCAAAATCAATTCCTTATAAAGAAACTCACACTTAGTGCTCCGAAATAGAGGGCGGATCGGCATTGACCGGGTTTTGACTGCCATCGTCTCACAAAGGGTATGCTAGATTGTACCCTCATTAAATTTCAAAACTACTCTTATAAAAACGTTTACCAAGGAGAAGTACCCTCGTGCGGTTAAGATAGCGGCGGTTAAAATACCGCGGACTAGGTGTATGTCCGACTCGTGATCACGTGATGCTCAGTAGAGATTTGGTTCCGAATAGCTGAGGGAAAAAAACGTTTTGTCGCCGTTGTAGATTGACGCTCAAAGGACTTACACAAAAATATTCCTTCGAACAATTTGGATTACTGATCTTCAAAGCACACAATTGCTTGTGAAAGACACTCGGCATGTATATTTAAGCACCACGACGATCCTTATTGGAGACGATTGCTTGTACCTGATTTTTTTTTCGGCATATCCTCGAAATTAGATGTTCACAACACTGTAACAAATTCTTTTGGAGCAACTTCCCACGAATGTTCCGAGGCGTAGAATCATAATTACAAATGTGGAATCGATCTGTCTGCGGTCAGCACGGCTCCAAGCGTGAAAGATGTGATGCCAGGGGCAGCCGCACATCCCAAACCAGCTCTCTGGTCGGTGTTGCTGCGCTGGCCGCGGGCGTCCTGGGCTTGTTGCGGATGCTTCCCGCCTGAAAGGCAGTCCCATGGGATGGTGGTTCCCGAAAAAGTGCCCAGGTGGGGAGCGCGGGGTGACAGCTTCTTGCGAAACTCAGAAAAGGTGGCGGGGGCAGCAATCGCTCCAACAAAAATTGTACACGTACCCACAGCCAACAACAGCCCGCTGGCTGTTGTTGGCCTTTCGCGTTTACTGTACCGCCAGCTGAGGGCTCCCTTTCTGCCCAGCCCCATCTCCACGGCCTTCTTTTTCCCCGTCACTTTCCCCCCTTCCCGTTCCGCTCCCCGTACCCTCTCCCCTCCCCTCATCCCTTCCGTCTTCCCCTTCCCTTTCCCCCTTGCCCTTCTTGGTTTGGCAAGGATGCAATTTTTCCTTGCCTACAAATTCCCTCCACCTTCCCATTCTGCGGTTGTCTAGATTGCATTTTTGCAAGCCTTGAGGTACCCTTCACCCATCACCAGAGCTCTCCTTGTGCCGCCCTTGTCCCTGGATTAGTTTGTCGAACTGGCGTTCTCGTGCTGACGACGACCTAAGAACCCAACCTCTTTTTTTCGCTGTCACTGACAGCGTTACAGAGGTTTCCTTCGCGAACCTCTGTCAGGATTCCCGCCATCTCTTTTGAGGGTTTCTACCCTATCTTCGAGTGCACGCTCACTAATTCCCGCTGAGAAGCCTTCACCTTCAGTTCCAGCAGAAAAACTCGTGCAACAACAGCGGCTGTATTTTTCCAACCTTTTTTTTCCTACGTGTCAATCCACGTGGAGAAGGGCGGCATGGAGAGCTTGATGGGTACTCGTCTTATTTTTGGTCAGCAGAACTTGCTGCAGCTTAAGCAACTTCAGGCTGCTGCAGCGGCGGCCACGGCACTGTCTGCGGGCCAGTATCTTCCGGTTGACGTCGACCTGCTTCTGCAACTTCACAACATGTCCGGGATTCAGAGCGATGCTTCTCTTCCTTCGCTCGCGTCGGACGCTCGTCCTCGCCTTACTTGGACGGATAAGGTAGTTTTGTATGATAACTTTTTTCCGATGTGTGATTAAAATTTTCGTATATCGCGGATCTAAATACAGGATTGTCTTCGAATTTCTGTTGCAGGAGGATTGCTTGCTGAAGGAGCTGATTCGCCAGCATGGGACGAACAAGTGGGCTCTCGTTGCTTCTAAGATCCGCACCAAGACGAACAAGCAGTGCCGTCGCAGATGGCAAGCGTTTTTGAACGCCATGGGCAACAAAGGCGTGTGGACTCCCGAGGAGGACGAGAAGCTTTTGGAAGGTCACCGCTTGTATGGCAACCGCTGGACTGAAATTGCTCGCATGGTTCCTGGAAGGTACTAACCTCATTCGTCCATTGCCCGCTTCGCTCTCTGTTTACTCTTGTAGTCTATCTGCACCCGTATACGTTTTTCTTAATGCCAATTTTTCTCGTTGTTTATTCCTGTTTTCAGGACTGACAACGCTGCTAAGAATCGGTTTGCGGCGTTGACTGCTAAGCGCGGTACTGCTATTCCGCAAAACCAGTCCAAGTCACCCTCGCATTCGGGCGTCTCTGAAAACGTGAGCGCGAGCCAGGTCGGCGATTCGTCTTCCGCATTGAGCGAGAGACCAACTTCAAAGAGGAGTCGATCCGATGTGCACTGGATGGATCGTGCGGTGAAACCGAAGGTGGAATTCGATCTTAACTCTGCTCCGGTGGCCGCTGTAGCGTTGGCCTCCCAGACCAGCAGCGCGTGCTCCGAGGTGGAGCAGTGTCTGGAAGTCTCCTTCCTTCCGGATCTTAACTCTCCACTTCCGGAGCTTACGCTCTCGCTGTAGGCGAGGCGAGTGTTTTTTGACGACTGTGCTTATGTCAGTCTAGAGACCTCTCGTGCAGGCTCATGGCTCTTATGCCGTTTTTTTCCTGCCCGAAGGTTGTCTCTAGGCTGCTGTTAGCAGATTCGTCATGTTGAACTCGGCAGCAGCGCTTCTGTGCATAGGTGGTTCCACCTTGGCTTTTTCTTGTCTCTGTGCAAGTTGATCCCTTCTGGGATATGCCAATGTCTTTTCTTTTAGCTGTTCTTGCTTACTCGTAAGGTAGGATCATGCTGCTTAGCTTTATCATCCGAGCTGCTTGTATTAATGTAGTGGGGAAAATTATCGGACATATTTTGGTGAATGCTAAGTCAAGATACGTGCAACGAACCGCCACTGACTTGCAAAGGGTGGTTTAAGTACAACGCTTCTGTAACGAATAATTAAACCACTTTGGACCATTACGAAGTCCATTGCACCGCCATGGCTCCTCCTTCCTGCATCACTCACCATCACTTCACTCGTATTGGCATCACTTCTCCAGCCAGGAAGGGATGGATATCTGTGGAGGGGTGTAATGTGATTCCCGCACTATGGCTCGCATGGTGTGTACCGGAATCTAGATGGAGCTTTCGGAAGTACCAGTCATTCCAGGCAACAGCACGGAAGAATCGGGAGCAGCGAGGCCTAGTGTTTCATCCGCGGCCGCTCCGTCATCTCCTCCTCTTCCGTCCGCGAAAGGCGTCGTCGCGTCGCTAGTGCGGACGTTCGAGGTCCACACGCAACACCACCACCACCACCACCAACAACACCTCGCATTCCAACCTGGCTCTCACGAGCCTGGTGATGGCGACGAGCCCGTTCAGGAGCGTCATCGCCGGCGCGAATCCCGATGTCACGAATCCGAGGACCAGCCGTTGCCGAAGCGCGCCAAGCTGGGTAACGTGGATAAAGATTCTGCCGAGCGTTCTGCTGCCGGTACATCTTCACCAGCGCATGCTGCTGACAAAGGACCTCGACTAACCTCACCGCGGACTGCTGACACGGACGCACTAGCAATTAATCCACGCTCGTTTGACGACGAGCCGGCGCTTCGTGGTCGTGGGGACGGTGCATCTGTGGCGAGCGATGGGCTTTGTGTTTGCGCGAATGGCGCGAATGGCGCGATTGGAGCGAGTGGCGCGAGTGGCGCGAATGGCGCGAATAGCGCGGTTGGTGCATTTCGTGATGCTGCTGCTGATGATGCGTCCGCGGCGGGGGGAATCGACGAGCTGTGGCGGAAAGCGGAGCTGCGTGCGGTGACGGCGGAGGTGGCGGAAAGCGAGGCGCGGGTGAAGGCGCTGGAGGCGGAGAGAGATGCGCGGGAAGCAAGGGTTGCCCGCGCCAGCGAGAGATGCAGGCAGGTGAGGTGGCATCTCGTTACTATCAGACTCCATATAGTCATAGTAGATGGAGTTGATGATGTGTAAGTGATGAAGCGGAATCTAATATGTTTCCTGTTGTCTTAGTTCTTGTTATTTGTTTGTTTGTAACCATTTTCGTTTTCCACCCTTTAATATGATTTGTTGTTTAGGTGTAGCCATTCGTGTGCCAACTATGACAACTCAGGCACCACAATCACTTCCTCATTTCTGTCAGGCGGAAGTGTCAATTCAGCAAGCCACGTCAGCAGTGCACGTAGCGCGGCATGCGCAGTACTCCCTGCGGGCCGCAGAATGGGCGGCGGCAGTGGGAGTGAGAGAGGGAGTGGCAGCAGCAGAGGAGGGGAGAAGGCGGCTGAATCAGCTGCTGATGCTGGCAGGATCTGAATCAGGGCGTGGGGGCAATGAAACCAAAAGTATTACACTCGGTGGCATGCTGATGCTGGAAGGATCAGAGGCAGCAGCAGGGACGAGAGATGGCTTGCTGCACGGGAAGCAGCAGCAGGAAGCGAGTTGTGGGGCGGAGGAACAAGGGGAGCAAGGAGGGGCGGAGGGACGGGGGGAGCGAGGAGCTGAGGGGGGTGGGAGGTTGGAGGGACGGCCGTTGGATACCTTGCATGCGTTGAAGGCCCTGCAGGTATGGCAGCGAGGGTTTGTGTGGCTGCTGTGCCTCTGCCTCACTGGATGGTCTCAAATTTGATAGCTTATCAGCTGTGAAGCTCGGGGTATGTGATAGCTCTGGTCGTTGTCCATGTGCTCTGCTCTGTCCTATGCTCTATGCTCTCTATGCTCTATGCTTTTGAGATTTCTCAAAAACTCCATGTGCTCTGCTCTGCCCTATGCTCTATGCTCTATGCTCTCTTCTTATCCACGTCCTGCTTCTCCCATTCTCCCGCATTCCCTTCCCCTCTCCTCCACCCCCCTTCGTGATGTCCAGATGGCAGCAAGGGATCTCACTGCAGCATCCTTTGCCATGGCAGATCGTGGTTTAGGCTTGGGTGCTGTAGAGGAGCATGTGAAAACATTCTTTAGCCTCCTTCGCCTCCCCCTTCCCTCGCCCACACCCCCACTCCCTGCAGATGGCAGCAAGGGAAGGGATCTCTTTGCATTGCAGCTTCCTTTGCAGCAAGGGAAGGGATCTCTTTGCATTGCAGCTTCCTTTGCAGCAAGGGAAGGGATCTCTTTGCATTGCAGCTTCCTTTGCAGCAAGGGAAGGGATCTCTTTGCATTGCAGCTTCCTTTGCAGCAAGGGAAGGGATCTCTTTGCATTGCAGCTTCCTTTGCAGCAAGGGGAGGGATCTCTTTGCATTGCAGCTTCCTTTGCAGCAAGGGAAGGGATCTCTTTGCATTGCAGCTTCCTTTGCAGCAAGGGAAGGGATCTCTTTGTATTGCAGCTTCCTTTTTAGCAAGGGAAAGGATATTGATGTGGGCTTGGGAGTCGTGGACGAGCATGTGCATGTATCCACTTTCACCCTCAATTTCCCGGATTCCCTTCCCCTCTCTCGTCCTCCCGCTCCCCCTCCCACCCACCTTCCCCCCCCTTTCCGCCCCCCTCCCCCTCGTGATGTCCAGACAGCAGCTAAGGATCTCTCTGCAGCATCTTTTGCTGTGTCAGATCGTGGTGTAGACTTGGGTGCTGTAGAGGAGCATGTGCTCAGCATCAATAAGAAATGGTTAAGTTATTTGAAAATGCAGCGTTCTGTGTTGAACGAAAATGCTGTGGATTAGTGTAAGTATGGTCGGGGACTGTGTCCTTGTGGAGGTTCTTACACCCGATCATGTGTCCTCGGCTCCGCCCCAGTGGCATAAGGTGGAAAAACTGTAACATGTTGGTACTGTAAATGGTTGACTTGGACTCCCTGTTAGGGCCAAAGGTACCGTACCGTGCGTTTGACCCATACTTTTTCTTGCTCCGAATCGAGCAAGCAATTTTCAAACTAAGGACAGGGTCTCATGCAAATGGGAAAATCAATTATATATACAGGATTCATTGAGGCCGTAACAGACCCTTGTGTTAGTCACACCCTGGTCTGGTGGTTCTTCTGTACCCATGTCAATCGGGTATACTGGGCGCTGGTAACTGCGTGTCTTGCAGAAGCACTGCAGCTACAGGAGGCATGAGCATGCCTTTCATATCTACATTGGATGGTGGTTAACCACCAGCATCCCATGCGCTTGCAGCCACATGGAATGTATGACCGCCACTCTTCTCCCAGCCTACATTGAGCGGCTGTCAGCCTCTCTCTACGTTGGGTGGTGGTCAACCACTGGCACCCCATGTGCTCGCAGCCACAGGGGCATGCGGAAGTGCGAGGAGAGGAACGGGCGCACGTCTGGTTGCAGCGACAGGGTCTCGAGCAGTGGCAGCAGCACTTGCAGCAACTGGAGGGGGGCGAAGGGGAAACGTGAGGGGAAACGAGAGGGGAAACGAGAGGGAAACGGGGAATGGAAGTGGGTGGAGAGAACGGGGTGCATGTCTGGGTGCAGGGACAGGGTCTCGAGTAGTGGCAGCAGCACCTGCAGCAACTGGAAGGGGAAATGGGGAGTGTGAGGGAGGGGAAGAGGGTGCAGCCTCAGGAGCATGTGGAAGTGCGAGGAGAGGAAGGGGCGCACGTGTGGGTGCATGGACAGGGTCTCGAGCAGTGGCAGCAGCACTTGCAGCAACTGGAGGGGCGAAGGGGAAACGAGAGGGGAACGGGGAGTGGAAGTGGGTGGAGAGGAAGGGGCGCACGTGTGGGTGCATGGACAGGGTCTAATTGTACGGCAACCAGCCACCACTGCTCACCTGCCTGCCTCCAGGGCTCTTGAGAACTATATATATAGTTATGTATATATGCCCTTAATCATTCTAAGAAGGGCCTGCAGTCATCACTACTCCCCTGCCTGCCCAGCCCATAGCAACCGCTCACCTGTCTGTCTGACCCCTCGCCCCCGAAAAAGTTGAAGTTTGTTGGATTCGAAACGCAGCAAGCCTGCTGAGAGAACGATCTGTAATACTACTTTTGAGAAATCTCAAAAGTCACTCCAACATAAGAGAACGATCTGTAATACTAAGTCTGCTAATCTGAAAGTCGAGGGAAGTCGTGAGAAAAGGCAGCCGCTCACCTGTCTGTCTGACCCCTCGCCCCCGAAAAAAGGCACACACGGCACGCCGTTGACTGGTTGCAACAGGAAGGCGAAGGGGTTGTTGTCTATGATCACTGTGCGGCGCAAATCTCGCCCCAACCCTGCCAGGTCCTTCACGTGCTGCCTCGTGCCTCTGGGGTTTCATGCCAAGTGAGAGGAGGGGGAGAATGGGAAGGGCGGGGAGTGGGAACAGGAGGAGATGAAAAGGTGGTGTTCCATACCCCAACAATGCCAGGTCCTTCACGTGCTGCCTCGTGCCTCTGGGGTTTCATGCGAAGTGGGGAGAGGGAGGAGAGGACAAGGAGGAAGGAGCAGTGGTTGTTGTCGATGATCACTGTGCGGCGCAAGCCCCGGCCTAACCCTGCGAGGTCCTTCACATGCTGCCTCGTGCCTCTGGGGTTTCATGCGAAAGAAAACGAGGATAGAAAGGGAGAAGGGTGGGAAGGGGAATGGGGGAGAGGGGGTGTGGGGGCTGTGGGCACAGGTTATCACAGAGGCAGGCAAAATACAATTCTACAGCTACAAAAGGGCGAGGCTGAGGCACATGAGGGGCGTGCTGCATGCATGCGTACATGGAGACGTTAACCCACATGAGGGGCATGCATGCATACATGGAGGGTGCTGTACATGAGGAGCATGCATGCATACATGGAGACGGTGGCGAGAGAGTAAGTTTTCTTAGGCACATCAAGGAGGATGCATGGTGACGGTGAGGCACATGAGGGGCGTGCGTGCATGCATACATGGAGACGGTGCGACACATGAGGAGAGTGGTGAATGCATGCATACATGGAGACGGTGCGACACATGAGGAGAGTGGTGAATGCATGCATACATGGATACGGTGGTGGGGGTGAGGCACATGAGGGGCGTGCGTGCATGCATACATGGAGACGGTGGCGGAACGGTAGAGGCGAGCTGAGATGAGCCCATCGGGATCGATTCTGTCCACTAGCGGCCGAGCGTAGCCTGCCACACACACAGCACACGGAGCATTCAGAACACTTTTGAGACGTCTCAGAGGTCGATTCAGTCCACTAGCGGACAGGCGTGGCCAGCCACACACGCAGCACAGACAGGATTGGGACATGGCGGCAGCAGCACTATTAGACCACACCTCACCCCACTTCACCCCATCTCACCCCATCAACGCACTTCCCAGCCCAGCCGTGAAGAGCACCAGCTCGCCCAGCCGACTGGCTCTCTTACCGACTAATGAGTGTACTCCCGCCCAAAACGCACCCCGGGGGCACCCCAACCGCACCCCAACCGCAAAAACCGCTCCTGAACCGTATCCAATCGCACGCATCCCAACTCCACTGCACCTTCCATCCCGGCGGTGAAAACCACGAGCCCGCCCCGGCAACTGGTTCTCTCACCTTCTATGGAGAGCACGAGCACCCCAACCGCACCCAACCAACCTCACCCCAACCGCACCCAACCGCAACCATCCTAACCCCACCCAACCTTTTATGCCAGCAGTGAAGAGCACGAGCTCGCCCAGGCGACTTGCGCGCCTGAGGAACTCCCGCAACCCCGGGCGCTCAAACACCAGCATCCGCCCCTTTCCAGTTCCCGGCTCAACCGCACCCAAACGCACGCTTATCGCACTCGACCACATCCCACCGCACCTTCCAGCCCAGCAGTGAAGAGCACGAGCTCGCCCAGGCGACTAGCGCGTCTGAGAAACTCCCGCAGCCCCGGCCGTTCGAACACCATCACCTGCGCCCTCTCCGGTTCCCCGCTCGCGTCCTGCGCACGCGCGAGGTGGCGAGGAACGGGGGGGGGGAGGGGGGAGGAGGAACGGGGGGGGGGGGGGGAGGGGGGAGGAGGTTGGACGCTATCGGTGAGCCATTCATGGGGGCGCCGCCACGCCGCCTCATGGCTATTCATGAGGGCTGAGCATATCACGGAAATGACTGTAGATTGTCTCTAAAAAGGACTCTGAGTGTATTGGGATTGCGAGTATATCTAACAGAGGCTGACTATAGGGAGGTCAGAAACAAAGGGCTTACGAGGTCTGCTGTGAAGCATTCGAGCTCGAAGCTACTGACGCCGCTGGCGGCGGATGCTTGACGGACGGATTCCGGCACGTCCTCCGCGTTGTACGCGCAGACTAGGGTTTCGTCCAGGTCCAACACGATCTGACGGAGACGGACCGAGACGGAAAAAAAATGTAACGGACAGACGGAAGAGGAAGGTATGAGACGGACGAAACGACTGCGGAACCAAGCAAGGCTCGGAGAGGTGAGGCGCAACTGGAAGTTCAAGCCCAACCAGAATCCCAGAGAGTTTAGAGAGTTTAGCTAAATAAACTCGCCCAGCACAGAAGATGCAATTCCGTGTTGGATTTTTCCAGGGTGATATCGAGGGTTCGGATAAGAACTTCGCAAAAAGCTTACAGTCAGTCTCGCGTCGTCGCCCTCGTCGCGAGGGGGCAGGAGAGGCTTAGCTGGAGGGGTATCGACGGAGGAAGCGTTGGTTAATAGTAAAGATGGCGACTCGAGGGCTAGTCTGTCAGCGCGATCCACTACAGCGTGAAGACCCGCGGAGACTAGGAACGTTCTTAATTGCGCTCCCTTTCCGTATTGAAGGAGAATTCTAAGCAAAAGAATGAAGAATATGTGCATCGTTTGCAGTATATATGTCTGTACAGCGATCCAGTAGGAGAGGCTGGGAGCCATGCTTGCCGGTACTAATTGCGTCGACGCCATTAATTCAGGCATGAAATAAGAGTTTGAGGAGGGAGTTTTGGGTTCTTCCATCGTTGTTAGCATCTCGAGTGCACTGTTTGGAGAAAAAAAAAATCTGAGTCTGCTCGAAGAAAAAGCTGCGCCAGGATTCACGGCAAGCATAAAATAACCTCAGGCGGATTGACGCTTATTCACGCGTACTTCGAGCTAATTCTGCTATTGGCGATTGCACTTGCACTTGCACAGCACGCGCGTTTGAGTTGCACTTGCACATCGCAAGAGATAATCCCAAGCTTCTGGACACAAACGAGGAGATGATGTTGGAATCAGCTGAAGATCCCAGCGGAATGAGGTCGACGGAATCGAGTTGCCAGGGTCGACGAGGGGGGTCGACGGACAGGGGTCTGACGAGGCGGGCGAGTGACGCGCGTGCGGGCCCGCCAGCCTGGCCCTGGGGCTGGGCCGGGCGCACGACCGCCGCCCCGCAACCCCCCCCCCCGAGAGTGAACAGCGACCCACGTTACCGGGTGGGGGCGGCGAGCTGGCGAGACCTCGGGCGAGGGGAAGTAACCCTGCCGCGAAGGCAGCCCACCCCTCCCTCGTGCCCGCGAGGCCCTAGTAACCCATCGCGGCCTGCCCGTACGGGCAGGCGAGGTCCACGCGAAAATCGGGGGCTCCCCTCGGGTCGCTCGACTATTTCGCGACCCGTTGCGGTGACGCCACGTGCTCGCCCGTCATTTCGCATCGCGTGCATGAGACATTTCGTACCCCCCGAAACTCGAGCGAAAACCTGGGTCGTTCGCCACGGGGCGCACGGCTTTCGCGACCCTCTGCGAAATCGACACGTGGTGCCGAAACGTCGCACCGCGCCCACGCGAAGTTGCGTCCCCTGGCCGACCGAGGCCGGGGCACGTGACGTCGACCTGTTGGCTCGGCGGCGAGGGTGCACTTGTGCCACGCAACTTGTGCACGAGCCCTGCCGAGCCAGGCATCACGGCCCCCTGGGCGACGCTCAACCGGGCCTGCGTGGCTCCGCCTGGCTTTTCTTCGTTGGAGGTGGACTGGCCCCTCATTTTCGCGTTCTCGTTTCTCTTTCATTTTTCCTCCCACCTCGGCGCCTTCCATACTCCCACCGCTTCTTCCCTTAGCCTGTAGCATAGCATCCTCGCTCTCCCGCCATGGCAGCCGGCCAGAAAGCCGCCGAAGCGGCGCCGACCTCGCTAGATTTCCCCCTGCATCTAGACATCGGTAGAGGACACACGGCCAAGCTCGAAGAGCACGACTACGCCGTTCTGACAAACCCTATGCTAGAGTTTAACGCCCGTTGCTTGGGACTCGGTCTCAAGTGAGTGTCTTATTGAGATGTCGTCGTCGACGGGCCTATTCCATGCTGGTCGGCCATGGCGGGGTTTCAATGCGTCCAGTAGTATATGTCGACGGGCTTAGAGTTCAGGCACATCACATCGGTGATGCCGACGTAATGCGTTAGGTCGTCGACGACGCTGAGTTGTGCCGAAGTCGTTCGGCTCCCGTCATTCCACCGTCGTGCCGCGCACCTATACCTCTCTAATCTGTTGTAATCATGCATGCGTGCAGGCACGCATGGATCCGCTCAACGGATGCAGGCGAGCGATTGTGGTCGATAGGAGTCGGCCGGCTTCGGGCGGCGATGGGTCAGGACGACCACACATGCTTTGCGACGATTTTCGACGCCGATGTGGCGGTTATCCCACTGATATCGAGGTGAGCAGGTTCGAGGTCCTGCTGTGTGCTGCAACCTGTGTCGGTGATTTGTTCTGAGCGCCATCGACGTGCCTTGTCTGTGCAGCATCGCACCGCTTCCGGGAGCACATTGCAGCGTCGTTCTCATCCTGTGCCCCGGCGATTTGTTCAATGCCTCGGGGCAGGAGGTCAGGACCTCGATCCGGCACGCCGACCCGCAGACAGTGAAGGAGTGGCACCGCGACGAGGCGATCCGCGTGCTGAAGTGAGCTCGATAGTTTAGTCGACATCGCATACATTGTCGACACGGCGCGTGCACCGTGCTAACCGACCGTCCTTGCCGTGCTTTTGCAGGTTTTTCCGGACCGCTGTTCTGGCCGAGCTGCGGCGCGAGGGTAGGAAATGGGAGTGGGCGAAGCCGTCCGAAGACGAGGTGCAGGAGAGGCTCGCCGACTGCGACGAACCCCTTCGAGATGTGAGTTACAGACGATTCGCCGTCATATGGTGTCACATCTACGCCGCCCTCATCCTTGCTCTCTGCACTGTTGTATGCAGAAAATTCCCGATACCGTCCGGGACTCGGACGCGGGCTCCGGCCTGCTAGCAATGAGCGCGTTGATCTGGGTTGTGAGGCGGTTCCAGCGCCTGACCGGCGACCTCCGTCGCATTGCCACCAGCATGGACAAGCCCACCGTCTCGGGGTTGAAGGCGCTGCGGAACGAGATGGTAGCCCTCATCAAGAAGCAAGTCCCGCTCATACGGTCGGGGAAAACCGTTGTTGCTGCCGACGCCTGTGACGACGACGGCGAGGAAGTCCATTCTGCATCCGTGCCAGTAGGGGTCGCCCCGAACGTCGCTGATGCGCGTGGCAAGTCGGGAGTCGGCGTCGACGAGGCCGATGCGGCCGCAGGAAAGGGGGTGACCGGGACCGAGGTTGCTCACGGGGATGATGATGGGGCCCAGGATCGCGAGGAGGAACGTGAGGGTGAGGGGGGCTCGGAGGAGTCGTCGGGGTCGATGTCGGGGTCGAGGTCGGGGTCGGGATCGGGCTCGGAGTCGGAGGAGGAGCAGGAGCAGGAGACGCAGGAGCACGAGAGGCATCACCAGGAGGAGCAGTTGGTAGAGGTGGAGGACGTGGAAATGGCGGAGGGGTACGTTGTCGGAGGAGCGGAGGGGTACGTTGTCGGAGGAGCGGAGGAAACGGGTGGGAGATCGGCGGATGTCGAGAACGACGAAGGGGAGGGGAAGGGTGCGACAGCGAATATCGGCGAGGTCGGCGTGGAGGCGGCTCACGGAGGTGGTGGCATGGTCGAGGTCGGTGAAGGGGATAACGCCGCGGTCCCGGAGCAGGGGGGCGTGGATGTGCATACCGATGCCACCGCGGAGAAGGCCGGCGGGGAGCGGTCTAGGAGGAAGAAGGCGGCGAGCGGTCATCCCGGTTCCACCGCGGCTGGGCGGCAGGCGCGGCTGGACGTCGTCGATCAGCTGAGGGCGGAGAACAGGCGATTGCGTGCAGACAATGCACTCCTTGAACGGCGGCTCGGTGAGCAGACGGGGCGGGTCGACAGCTTGGCGGCGGCATTAGCTGGGCTCCTCGAGAAGTTGAAGGGTTTGACCGCCCAGGTCGCCGACACCGACCGGAAATCGGAGGAGCGCCTCAAAGAGGCCACGTCGACCATGGCGACCACAATCACCGAGGGCCTCACCGACAACATGGACAGCGCCATTCAATCGGCCAAGTCCTTCGCCGAGCTAGCGAGGCAGACGCTGCTGGATCTTGACGACCCCAAGGGACGAGCGGCGGTCGCACGCGCGACCGCGGTGAAGACAGTGACCGAGCACGTGACGGCGGAGGTGGGCGAGGCGAGGAAGGGGTTGGAGGAGTCGTTCATCAAATACATCGGCGCCGCGCAGACCAACATTGCCGCCGCCGTCGCGCCCCGCCTAGTCCAGCCGCCGCCGCCTACCGGCCCAGCGCAGGCCTTGCCGGAAGATTTCCTGAAGTCTTTCAAGGAGGACGTGCTGAAGGCGGTGACGGAGACCACGCAGCAGTCCTTCCTCGCCTCCGGACTGAAGATTATGGCCGAGGTCGTCGGCACGGTGGCGTATGCTCGGCGTGGGTCGTCGCCGTCGGCAAACGACGCCGGCCAAGCGCAACCAACGGAGGGCTTGAAGCTGGGTCACAAGAGGCGGGGAGGCGGCGGGGGGGGCGACGGGGACAATTCGGCGAACACGAAGCGGAGCAAGGGAGGCGGGGGGTCTGGCGGCGGTGGGAGCATGGGAGCCGGCGACGGCAGTTCGTTGAAGCAGTCGGGGAAGAGCGTGGTCGACATCCTCAGGAAGCACTGGGCTCAGGTTGGAGCGGCCAGCACGGGCCATGGTGGTGGGGGTCCCGCCGACGAGCATGCCACTGATGACGCACTGCCAATGGCTCCGCCTTCGGTCGGCGTTAAGCCACCACGACAGGGTAGCGGTGTGAAAGGCCTGCGCGACAAGGAGAAGGCCGCCGCCAAAACGGCCCCAGGCGGGTCCGCGAAAGCTGGCCAGGGCCCGAAGACGGGGGTTGCGGAGGCGTCAGCGGTTCCTCACCAGTCTCCCGCGGGTGCACGCCATCCGACCGGACCGTCTGCCGGGCGACCTACCGACGTCCCGCGCCATGCCGACGTACCGTCTGCCGACAAGGTTGGCCGCGCGGGAAAAGGGGCGGCAGTTGCGGACGCGCTCAAGGAGCAGCTCAGGCTCCTAGCCGGCCACAGGGCTGTTCAACAGGCCCCCCCTGCTGTCGACGTCCCATCGGCCAGTGGGCCACGTGTAGTGCCGGTCGTCGCCGCCCGTGCTCCTGCAGACCCAAAGTCCGCGTTGTTGCGCGCCCAGCTGGGCGCACTAGCGTCGACTGAGAGGACTCAGCAGGCTTCTGGCTCTGGCTCTAAGCCGTCGTCGGCGAATGTCGCACCACCCACCCATGTGGCAGCTGATGTGGAGAAGGCGGCGGAGAAGGGCGTTCGTGCCGCGCTTGCCACCGGCGGCGGCGCCGTTGAGGAGGTCCCCGCAGACGCTAATATCGCTGCCATACAGGCCCATCTGGATGCAGCCAATCCCCGAACCCTGGCCATCTCCGACACGGAACATGTGGAGCCTTCGGCGGGACTCGTCGGCATCGCGGCAGAGCCTAGTGCGACCGGTGATGCGGTCGGTGAGGGAAAGTCGAAACGGAAGGGGAAGGCGGGCTCACAGAGGAAGACGCGGGAGAAGTCGGAGGTGAAGGCGGCGGATAAACAGAAGGGGATGGCGGCGGAGACGGCGGCGGACAAAGATCGAGGCGGCATTGGGGAGGTTGAAGGGAAAGGGGAGAATCAGAAGTCGCCCGGCGAGGGTACGTCGACGGGGAGGAAGGGGAAGGACAAGTCGGTCGGAGAAGGTGCGTCGACCGGGAGAAAGGGGAAGGAGAAGGCGGTCGGCGAGGGTTCCTCGAAGGGGAGAAAGGGAAAGAGGAAGGCGGAGGAGGAGGATGAGGATGTCGAGGAGGTGGAGGAGGTCGAGCAGGAGGAAGAGGAGGAGGAGGAGGAGGAGGAGGAGGAGGAGGAGGGGAAGGGCAAGGAGAGGAGGGGTCATGGCATCCGACACGATACCTCGGGCGACAAGCAAGGGTGGGTCGGCGAGATTAAGGTGCACGGCATCAATCGATACATCGGCAAGTCGCGGGACAAGATGGAGCTCGTGTACGTTCACTCCATCGCGTACGTCGTCTACGACGGTTTCGTGAGCAAGGTGCTCATGACCGAGCTCACCGGCTTGGACAGCGCCGAATTGGAGAGGTGGAAGGAGGTGTGGGAGGAGGTCAGGATCTTGCCGACAGGGATGTGGACGGTGATGTGGGCCCGGGGTACGCTCCTTCCAAAGACACGGTAAGTCGGCAATCCTCCGATTCAAAGTCGATGTCGTTGTCGTTGTCACTCATGTTCGCCCTGTTTGTGGTGGCGTGACAGGCTGACGGAGATCCTCGACGCGTATCGCCATTACAAGTCCACAGGCGATTGTCTCCACGCCGCGCTCCTGCCAGCGATATGGTACCCAGTCGATGCTAGCACCGAGGAAGGCCGGGAGAAGTCGGCGTCCATGATGTCGGCGATGATAGGCCGCGTGTCAATGTGCGCTGCATATGGGAAGACCGCTGCGGCAGCGGCGAAGAAGGAGGGAGACAAGGAGGAGAAGACGGATATGGCGGCATGGGCGTTAGCAGCATCCGCATGCGCTGTGTGGTGCTTCGTCGAGAACGGCGATGCCCAGCTGGCGGATGCTGTGGAAGAAGGGAAGTCGGCGGCGATCATCGGCGGAGCGAGCCAGGCGACCGCCGATGTATTCGGAAAAGTCATGGAGGCGGTGCTGAAAGCCGAGATGAACAGGGACCGCCCCTTGGGAGAGGTTGCCTACAACGTCGCGCCAGCACTCCAGAGGACCGCCCTTGATACGGTATATCCGGGGGGGAATGCTGGAGTAGATGCCGACGTTATCGCTAGAGCGACGGTTGAGACGATGGCGTTTTGGGGAATGTGCCCCGTCGCCGGGCCGAAACTAAGAGCGAGGGACATCGCGGTGCCGATTGACGCGCAGATGAAGGCCGATCTTGACAACAGGGGGAGGAAGGGTCTGAGGGGCAAGAAGGGGACGAAGACCAAGGGCGGCACGGAGAAGGTCAAGAAGTCGAAGAAGGACAGCACGACGGCCTAGTCGACGGCATGCTAAGATTGAGTGCTGCGTGGACTCGATGATGAAATGGTCGATACCGTTTTCCTTGTTTTGGCTGTCGGATCCCTTTGATGCTCTTTGTTTGTGTTTTTTTTTGTGCGTGCCTGTCTACTTTACGTAGGATGAGTAATGAACACATTAGCTAGTAATGATTGTCTACTTCAGTTTGAACGACACGTGAATGCCCCGCTAGGCCGAGAACAACAGGATCATTGAGAGAAACAAAAAGTCGACATCAGTATCAGTATGAAACATAGGCATGCTGCATCAACATCTACAACATGCAACAGGCCACAGTAGCAGGAGGCCTGGGAACATTCAAGCGGTTTTCTTGCGCTTGGTCGACTTATTGGTCGGAGGCAGCTGCCCGGCGTCGTTTTCGCGGGCCAGGTCGGCCAACGTCTTCTTCATCTGCTCAACCCAGGTGTCCGGGAACAGGTCGGCGACCCACGTTTCGGGCTTGAGCCCGCGCGCCACGAACGCACAGGCGACACGAAGCTTGGAAAATTCCGTCTTGCCGAGCCCTTTGACGCCCTTACCCTGCCCAGCATAGGTCGCTACGGCGTCCGCGTTGAGCACCGTGAGGGCATCCGCGAAGGTCCCAATGCCAGGCGCCGCTATCTTGTTAAGCGCGTCGACGGTGGCTTCCGTGTCGGCTTCGCCGTCGCTCCTGCGAAGCTGGCGCACCGCATCGATGACCTTCATCATGCGGCGCACCCTCGTCCCGTGTGCTCCCTGCGAGGCTCCGTCGAGGAGGGTGTGGCGGTCGACGAATCCCGGCTCCCTGAACCTGTCGCACAGACGACGGGTGTCGGCGCTGGTGCACGAGGTCCAGAGGCGCCACGCGTCCTTGACGGTCGTTGCAGTCCGCCAAGGCTGCACTACGTTCAGCTCGTAGCTAGCCTCCTCGACCGTCTGTGGGGGTTTATTGGGTTTGTTGGCTCCTCCACCCCTGCTTGCCGACTCCGCGGAGCCACCGTCGCTCGGCGACTGGTCGTTAGCAGCTGGCGGCGCCTCCGGCATCCTTCGAGCTTCTGAAACGCGGAGAGCCTCGGTGAGGCGTGTTATCTCGGCCGCGAGCGACGCGATGGTTGCGTCGCGATTCTCGAGGTCGAGCTTCTGGACCCTCGAGGTCGAGCTTCTGGACCGTTGACCGCTCCCTCTCGAGCTTAAGCGTCTCCGTGAGGGAGACGACCGCGAACTGGGCGTCATGGCGGACCGATATCTCCTGCAATGGTATGCGAATAACGGTGCAGATGAGGGGTTGTAGCGGTCATAGATAACATCGCGACGTCGGCATAAAAGATGACCTACCTCTGGCTGGATGAGGGTTGGATCTTGCCGCTTTTTTATGGTGTCGGTGTCGGTCTTCTCGACCCTCTTCGCCCAGTGCTGGAAGAGGGGAATCCGGCAGAGCTTGGAATACTGGATGTACGGGTGCCAAGGGGTGCGGACGAGTTTCACCGCGAGGTCCTCGGCGACAATGCGGCGGAACATCAGAAGGGTGCGCCAGAAATGCACGGCCGCAACGTCGGCGTCGGACCCCTTCTTCGCGAGTTCTTCTGCCTGCAGTTAGACATCAGACGGGGGTTATCTCCATGGTGGATAGGACAGTACCATGCAAGATTGGTCGGCACCGATAAACAAACCTTGTTGAGGAGGTCGTCGACGTCGGGGAAGATGTGCTCGGCGATGAGAGCGAGGAGTTCGTCTCCCGGTTCCACCCTACTGCGACCCAAGAAGTAGTCCTGCGTGAATCCCGAATAGCCGGCCTTCTTCATCACCACGCCGACGGGAATGGACGTGATGTAGGCTCGAGTCATCTTGTCGAGAGCCCAGTGACCCAGCTCGGCTATCTCGGCGCGAGGCGTACCTTGGATGGCCAACTCCTGCGCCCCGCCCGCCCGAGCGGCATGGACGTTCCGCTTGCAGAACACCCCGTTCGTCTTCCACATCTGCCTCGTCCATCGCTGGTGGCTGGGAGCTGAGAGTTCGCCCTGCTCGGGGTCGTTGCGGGCGAAGAACAGGTGCTTCTTGTACCAGAGCTCGCGTGTGCTGGTGTCGACCGGCGGAATGAGGTCGACTCCGTGAAACTGGCCGATCTGGTCGAGGACGAAGTGTAACCACAGCCCGGTCTCGCCGACGGCGCACAACTCCGCTTCTAGGTGCCGCGCCGCGTAGCTCTGTTGAAGACGCGCATCCTTCGACGTCTTCGAGTTCCGCGCGGCGACCACCATGACGACCGGCTGGTTATCCGGGTTCACCGACGAGGTGCTCGCCAGTCGGTACAGGAAGATGTCGGGGAGCGTTATCTCGCGTATGCTTGCACCGCGCATGAGGCTGTGGTGGGAGAGCAGCGTGAGCACCTTGATGAGAAGAAACCTCCACAGCGTCTGCGAAGGTGTGGTGAAATGCGGGCTCCATGCCGACGCCGCCCAAGCCGGCAGCACCCTCGTCATTATCTGGCGGAACTGTTCGGCGGTGTATGTGTCGCCGATGGTGCCGCGTCGACGGTCGGCGCATTTACTGTCGACATAACAATATATGGATATGAATATTAGGGCGAGGAAACAAATCGATGGCGACATAACACGGCGATGCATGCCAACTTACTCGAGGTCCCTCTGATTTTTCGTGCGGACCATGACCCGCACCTCCGACCGGACCACCGAGATTTCCCGCATGATGCCCAACTCCTTCTCCTTGAAGAGCGTCGCCTCCACCCTCGCCGCCATCTGGCAGGCCTTGATGCGGCCGAGGATCATGTGCACCGTGTAGGCTCGCACTGGCTCGTTCGTGTCGGCGTCGATCTTGTACTCCCGCCTCATGAACTTGATGTAGGCGCGCAGTCGCGTACTAGTGACCCGGGGGCCGTGCAGCCATATGTGCTTCCGCTTGACCACCTTCTCGTTGTCCCAATCCTTGCTCTTGTTGTTGTGTGTCCAGTGCCCTATCTCGTCGACGTGCCTCATTTGTTCTGCTGTCGGCAGTTTGTCGCCAATTTTTTTAAGCATCTTCGCCGTCCACCTTTTGTAGTCGTATATCCATGAGGTGTAGGACTTGAGCGTGCTCTTGGCCTCTATGGTTTTCAGGTGGCGCATTGCCTCCATCACGAGCACGTCGACGCACGCATACACCATATCTTCCTCTACGAAGTCGGCCGCCTTCCACATTTCTCGAGGGACCGACGTGTGCAGCAGATCCTCAAGCTCGTTCTCGTCCAACAGTTCCTCTATGAACGCACGTTCCCCCCTGAGTTTTTCTTCCAATGTGCGCGGACCTGCACCACGACGGGGCCGCGGGTCGTCTTCGTCGTCCTCGTCGCTCGCCGATGAATAATCGTCCTCATCCTGGTCGCCCGATCCGTCCGGCACAGACGACGGCCCGGCCTCCCCTGCATCCGTCGGCGTCGACGTTTTGCGTGGTTTCGTGAACTCCCCTATCGGCGCGGGCGGAACGTCCTTGGTGAACTCTCCCTGCGGGATTTGGGCCAGGGCGTCGAGATCGTAAAGCAGCGGCAAAGTCGACGAGGGGTTACTGGTCGGTGTACGGTCTACCGGGCGGACGTCCTCATCCTGGCTAGCGGGGTTCATGAGGTCCGTCATGTCGACATCGGCGGGGGGTGGGTTGGTTTGCGGCGGTGTCGAACGAGGCTGTCCTCTGGCCATGATACCGCGACCTAGGGCGATAGGAAGTCGGCGTGGTGAGGTCGATAAACTACTTAATGCGTATTCTATGTCGGCGGTATCTGGCAGGTCGGGACAGCAGACAATCCTACGAGAGGTCGGCGACCACGTCTGCCTACTATCACGACGCCGACGTTACGCCTCTAGAGAAAATCAAAGTGCCGGCCGTCAAGTCAGTGGTAAAAAAAAAAAGCAATGGCACACACAATGGCAGGCGGAATGAGCGACCATTTCGGGGACCACGGATGGGGATGGTCGTGAGCGACTCCGCACCACTTGGCGCTCCACGCAAACCCCAGTGCACGACGCCGCCATGCATGTACGCTCGTGCGGCGGCGCCGTGTCCGACGTGCCACCAGGCGTGCATGGCTGCTTGCTTGAAGCGCTTCGCTCATCATGCTCTTTTCGTGGCTGCTACACGCTGGCTCTTTCGTGCGGCAACGTGGCGTGGTCCCGAATTAGGTGCACCTCGGTAGGTCGAGGTCGGGAGACACTGCCGTGTGGCACCACGATGATGCTCTTCTGGTCGACGCCGACAGGTCCCGCATCATCAGTGTCCACTGCACGTAGCCATAGATAGTGGACGGCCGGATTTCTCCTTGCGCATGTGAGCAACCGTTGGATGAATGCCGTGTGGTATGCACCGACATTGCCACGTTCATGCGCGAGATTCTCCCAAGCGAAGCACCCCGACCTTCCGTTGGCCCGTCGTGTCCAACCTGGCAGACCTAGGTGGCCCCGCCATCCAGGGGACTATCTCGGGCGTCCCTTTGTGGCCGCGTGGCGATCATCGCGGCCCGACTTGCCGAGCTGGTATTCTGACACGCGGCTGAGACGTCCTTCTCGGAATTGTCTCAGCGGAACTCTAGGTCGACAGGTGGTCGACCATCCCGAGGGCTCACCAGCACCTGGCCCAGCCAGATAGCCTGGGCTTTCCACGCGGAGGTCGTCGTGGGGTCGTCGACCCCGAGGAGGGGGGTTGTCCGTTCTGAATCGCGAAAATGGGCGGCAGTTTTCGTCGGCTGAGCTATATTATGCTGAATCGCTCATCGGAATTCGGGGTGACGCACCCGTTCTGCCTGGGACGACGCGGGGGGGTTACGGTCGACCGAGCGTCAGGGCGGCCAACTCCCTCGCGTGAGTCCCCCGCCAGGCTGGCGCGGGGCGGGGCTCTGCCCACGCCCCCCGCCCCGGCCCCCCACCCCCAATTCCTACAGAACCCCACGTTGCAGCCGAGGGGTGGCGAACTCGCGCGTGAGCGACGAGGGGCCTAGTTACCCCTTCACGGAGGCGGACATTCGCTTCGCGTTGCCCGCGAGGCCCTAGTAACCCTCTCGGGCTGCCCTCGCCGGGCAGGCGGGTTGGTTGCGAAATTCAAAGGGCCCGACCCCACCCTCGTCAACATCGCTGGCCCCTCGGGAGGGGACACGTGGCTCACCCTCGCCACCCCGACCACCCCCACGCACGGCCCACACAAACCACCCACCTCCGCCCCTCCGAACCCCGCCCTCGAGGGCATGCCCGGTTCGGGCCGAAGCCGGAGGCTCGCCCTCGGCCACGACCTGCCTCGTCCGCCGAGCTGCATACTAGGCGACCGACGGCCCACGCCCATTTCTTGATGGGGGGTCCCACTCCATCCGTCATTTCTCTATGCCTCAAATTCGCTTTCCGATTTCCTCTGCCTCCCTATCAGCTCTCCGCGCTCCTCCCCAAACCTTCCGTGATACCGTGGTGTTAGCATGGCGACCAGTAGGATAGCACTGCCTACGACTGAATTCCCCCTCCAGGTGCCAGTGGGCATCGGTGGGTACATGGTGACGCTTGAGATAAAGGACTACGAAGTCCTTCGCGACGAGAAGGCCGAGTTCACAGAACCTTGCTTCGACCTCGGCCTCGCGTGAGCGCGCATCCCTAGGTCGCGTTGTTAGTTGTTTAGGGTTCTGCGCGTTTTCGTCGGCGTCCTTTCTAGGTCGACGTTGGCCTTGTCGTTTTCCCGCGTGGTCGACGATGTCCGTCCGCGATGGACGTTTTGGTGCTGCGTCGTCTTATTAACTAGTTTGTCTGTCCTCGACCATTGGCCCTACGTCGGTGACGTCCGTCATGCTGCCGGCGACATCACCGCCGTGCGAAACCTTTGTCCGAGTCCGCTTGTCTTGCTGTCCGCGCTTTACCCCGGCGCCCGGCATGGATTGTAGCTCACCGCGCAAGTGTTTCGCTCCCGCCTTTTCGCCCCCGCTTGTCCCAGGTACGAGCTCGATCGTCTGGGAAAAGGCGACAGGATGATCTTGATCCGCGGTGCGATTCTTCGTGCCGCCAGGACGGCGTCGAAGCCGGACTATCTGGTTTTCGGGTCGGCCTTCGGCTTCGAAGCCCTCGCCATCCCCCTGTGCACCGGGTGAGTGTTCCGCGCCCGTGAGGTTTGATCCACGCCGACCGCGTTGCTTGTTGTTCCCAGACAGAACCCTGAATGTCTCCGTCGTGCTTGTGTGGGCAGGGGCGGACCTCTTCCCGGCAGGCACTGCAGCGTCCTGCTTGTTGTACGCCCTGGCGACCTGCTTTTGCCCGACGAGGAGGAGATCGGGACCTTCTACCGCCACCTCGACCCCAAGACCTCCTCCAAGCGGCACGAGGAGGAGGCGGCCAACGTTTTGAGGTGGGACAACGTCAACGGCTAGTCGCGCCGCTCCTTAACGGCGTTCATGCCGCCTTGTCTGATGGCTCTTTTCCGTCTCGTAGCGCACGTTTTTCGGCGAATGCGTGAAGGCGGAGTTGAACCGTGAGGGAAGGCAGTGGACGGCTGCGCCTCCTTCCGCCAAAGTCCTCTCCGAACGTCTGGAGAGTCTTGCCGCCCCCATCCGTGATGTGAGTTTCCAACGTCCATGTCGCCTTGTCGCCTGGGCTATCGTCGTCGAGGCGTCGACTCACCCTTTTCGTCGGCGCCATGTGCTTCGGATGTTGATGCAGAAATTGCCCGACATCCTCAAGGAGGAGGTCTCCGGCACGGGGTTGTTGGCGGTCAACGCGTTCGCGTGGTCGTTGGAGCATCTGGACGACGTGCATCGCAGCTACGATCCGCTCATCGTCGAGAACCCGAAGATGGTCGGCTTGAAGGCGCTCTGACTGGAGCTGCTGCACCACGTGGAGAAGGCCGCGTCGAACAAAGGGGAGGCGGCGTCGACCGTGGGCCGTGGCGTCGGAACCGGCATCGCTCTGGGTGGGGAGGAGGAGCACGAGAGGGAGGACGTTGAGGGGGGCGGGGAGCACGACGGTGGCTCGGAAGAAGAGGAGGACGTGGAGCGTGAGGAGGACGACGTGGTTGTCACCGGCGAAGAGGAGGCAGTGTAGTTCGCCGGTGAGAAGGTTGCGGATAAGAGCGGCAGCAGCGGACCCAAGTTGGGCAAGAAGGCCCGGGGCAGCAGTGGCTCGACCCCGACTAGGATGGCGTCAAAGGCGGCTATCGAGCGTCTGAAGGCGGCGGAGAGGGAGATCAAGAAGCTGAGGGAGGAGAAGCTGGTGGCGGAAAAGAGGCTGGAGTTCCAGACGGCCCGGAATCACACGATTTACGGCGTGGTCACCTCGGCCGTGAACAAGCTCACTACAGTCGCCGAGGGCGTGACCCATCACGAGCAGACGTCGGGGAGGAGCATCCAAATGGCGGTGGACGCTATGAGGGCGGTCGTGCAGGAGGTGGTGAGCTATCGCGGCTCCACCCTAGAATTCATGAACACGCAGTGGCTGCCCACCGTGCAGGCCCTGCACTTGACGGCTACTGCTGCACAGGGTAGGCGACGGGAGGACGACCTCCTGCTGTTTCGAGGTGTGGCAGATGCTCTTGGCAAGAAGATCAAAACAGTCGTGTCTGCCGAGGTGAAGGCCGCCATGGAGGGCGAGGCGCAGAGGATCGCCGCTGCCGTGACTGCGAAGGTCGTCCAAGAGCTTATGGACGACCTGGTGAAGGCGGTCACCTCCGCGACCCAACAGGGCATTGGCACCGCCGGGTTTAGCCTCCTCCCAACTGCTCTCGCGTCGGTGATGCACGGCGGTCGCGCAACCGCCGAGGAGAGTGGGCCGGCCCCAAGGTAGTCGGGGAAAAGGGTCGCCGACGAAAAATCCCTGACCGGCGACCAGACCAGCGGCGCTAAGCGAAGCAGAGGACCTGCGGTGAAACGCGGTGTGGGCGTGGATCCTCCTGCCCCTCCGTATGTTCGTATCCCCGGCGTCCACGACTTGCTGAAAGATAGACTTGGCGCGCGACCGAGCGAAGATTTTCGACAGGTCGACGTCGCGCTCCAGGATCCTCAGTCGGTGGTCGGGAAGACCGGTGGGCAGCCCGTGGGGGACAAGCAGCCACAGGCCCCGACCGATCCGCCGAGCGCACACGACGCGCCACCGAGCTGCGACCAGGTGAGTCTGGCCGACGAGCTCATGGGAGAGGCATCCGTGGTCGCGAAGCAGGGCTGGCAGCCAACGGCGGACCAGCATCCACACCCCGAGGCCAGTCCGGCGACTACACAAGGCGCTCGACCGAGCGGCGGCACGGCCCAGATGGCAGACGACATGCACGTCGCAGCGGTGGTCGGCCAGGCGCGCGGGGAGCCCGTTGCGGTCCAGCATGTTCAACCCTCGACGAGTACGCCGACTGCGCGACCGACCGGCGTCACAGCGCAGCTGCTCGAGACCTCCTGCGCCCCGCAGCGGTGGTCGGACAGCAGGGCGGGCCGCCCGGTGCGGGCCAGCAACTTCACCCATCGACGAGCACGCCGACCGCACAAGACGCGCGTCCGGCTGGCGTCACGGCGCTGGTCGACGAGCTCTTGCGCCCAGCAGCGGTGGTCGGACAGCAGGGCGGGCCGCCAGGTACGGGCCAGTATCCCCCCACCGCGACGATTCCGGCGACTGCACAGGACGCGCGTCCGGCTGGCGCCACGGCGCTGGTCGACGAGCTCTTGCGCCCAGCATCCGTGGTCGGACAGCATGTCCAGCAGGCCGCGGCGGGCCAGCATCCCCACACCGCGACGAGTCCTGCCACTGCACGTGACGCGCGACCGGGTGGTGTCACGGCGCTGGTCGACGAGCTCTTGCGCCCAGCAGCAGTGGTCGGACAGCATGTCCAGCAGGCTGCGGCGGGCCAGCATCCCCACACCGCGACGAGTCCTGCCACTGCACGTGACGCGCGACCGGGTTGTGTCACGGCGCTGGTCGACGAGCTCTTGCGCCCACCAGCGGTGGTCGGACAGCATGTCCAGCAGGCCGCGACGAGCCAGCATCCCCACACGGCGACGAGTCAGGCGAGGGCCAGTACCGGGAGACCGGGTGGCGTCACGGCACAGCTGGTCGACCAGTCTTTCCGCCCCGATCTGCGAGCGACAAACGTCCCACCCAGCGGCGCGGTCGAGGCCACATCGGTGATCGTGTCGACGACGACAGCAGCGCCGACCAAATCGGGTACTGCCCGGGCGACCTTGTCGCTGCCGAACCCGCCTCCGCCTACCACGGGCACTGCCGGTGCGGCCAGCTTACCCGTTCATGGGGCCATGGTCGCCGCGGAACCGATCCCGATCCCAACGGTTGTTGAGTCTCGGGCGGTCGAGGCTCTAATCACTCAAAAGCCATCGTTCGACGAGTATCTGAAATGGCTCGAGGATCAGGGTCAGAAAACCCCGGTAATTCCTCCGACTCACAGCAACCAGGCGGTCGACCAAGGAGCAGAGGCAGCGAACGTCGCGGCGGCGACTGCAGGGCCGAGTGGCTCAACGGTGGAGGCGGCTGTGTGGAGAGCGGCGGAAGAGGCCGGCGGGGTGGACGAAGAGATCCTCGCCAGCATCGTGATGCCGGACCCGGAAATCGAGGTCATGCGGGAAAAACTACAAGCAGCAGCTCCCACCGTGGGAGCGCAACAGGGTGCACCAGCCGCCACGACTGCTCCTGCGGAGGACCATAGCGCGGCTGGCGCCAAATCCCCCCCGGCCACAACCGGTGAGGTCGGCGATGGGAAGCAGAAGCGCAAGGGCAAGGACAAGGCGAAGGGCGGCCCGGCGAAGGTCGGCTCTTCCAAGGGGACGTCCAAAGCGGCCGCGCAGGGTCGGAAGGGTTCAGGCGTCCGCGTTGACCCTTCAAATGAGCTGGCCGTCTCGGAGATGAAGTTTGGGAAGAAGAGCCGTTACATCTGCCGGTCGATGGACAAGTCCGAGGCTGCCTACTGCATCGCTGTCGCCGTTTCGTCGTTCGACGGCTTCGTCAGCGACGTGGTTCTCGACGAGTTCGGTGGGGTCAAGGAGGAAGTGATGGCGCAGTATAAGGCGGACTGGAATGTGGCGCGATTGATTTCGGGGGGCATGTGGAGCCGAGGGGCGAACGTCTTCCGCGACAGGTAAGCTTGGCGAATGCTCAATTTGGTGCTCGTTTCGGTCGGTTCGCGTGGGCCGGTCGGTGACGGTGGGTATTCCTGCTGTGTTTCGCAGGTTCCAAGGGGTGGTCGCGGAATACAACAGGATAACCGGAGCCGACCGCGCAGCTCTCATGTTGGCTCTTCGCCCGGCGGTGTGGTTCGGCGACCTTCCGGAGTCGACCGAGCCCGAGAAGGCCGCGAAGAACAAGGTGGCGAGCGACATGATCGCACGCGTTTCGATGTGTGCCGCCTTCGCACCGGTGGCCGCGAAAGTGACGCCCATTCCGGGCGTCGGGTCGGAGCGGTTGTCCGAGATCCTCGCCGGTACTGCGGCCGCGTTGTGGTGTTTTTCAGACACCAATGCCACGGCGGAAGTAGCGGCCGGCAAAGGGGGGGCGGCAGCGACCGTGCGCGGAGCGTCCAACGAGTTCGCGAGTCGGTGTCGGACCGTCATCGAGGCGGTGCTTCAGCGGGCGGCCTCCCGGTGTTAGAGGTCCACTGGAGATCCCCGATTGATCCTAGGAAAGGGTTACAAGCACGTTGGCCTGGGGGGTTATGGGCGCACTGACCCGCTACTTAACAAGCCCTTTTATCCCAATGGTCTAGTGGTTGGGATTCTGACATGGTATCAGAGCGAAGGTTTCGGGTTCGAATCCTAGTGTGTGCACCTCGGGCATCTCAGTGCGGGGGGGTGTCAGAGGTCCACTGGAGATCCCCGATTGATCCTAGGAAAGGGTTACAAGCACGTTGGCCTGGGGGGTTATGGGCGCACTGACCCGCTACTTAACAAGCCCTTTTATCCCAATGGTCTAGTGGTTGGGATTCTAACACCCGGGTGGTCGTCGTAGGGGAGGTCGCCAAAACGGTGACGAAGGACCTGCAGGCGGCTGTGGTGAGGTCGCTGCCTGAGGTCGAAGAGGAGCGCGAGCACGACGAGCTGATCGCCCGTGTCATGATAGAGAACCTCGCCTTCTGGGGGGACTGCAATGTCGGAGGCCCGAAGCTCAAGGCTCGCGGCGTCGATTTGCCTATCGACCCCCAGATGAAGATTATCATTCGGGACAGGGGGGCGAGGGGGCAGCAGCACAAAGGAAAGCAGGTTGCCGACGCCTAGGTCGACGAAGGTTGGCCTGCCTGCTCGTAGCATGGTCGGCGTGGGTGCAAACGCTGCAGGCTTTCTGACGAAGACCTACAAACGCTGGCCCGACCGCTCGTGACATGGTCGACGTGTCCGGTTTCGGGTGCTGTTTTGTTGTTTTGTTGTGCCTCTCCGGCTTAGGGATGCTGAACTTGTTCGTCGGTAGTTTTTCAGAAACGTTGTGAAGTAGGTTTTGTGGTGTGGAGTCGGTTTGATGCATGAACAACAGACAAACTTGTACTAATTTACAAGTCGAAACAACGTTGGCAGTAAAAGAAAACCATATAGGATCACTAGAACAGGTCGGACACGCTCAGCACACCCCTAGCCCACCCTCAGCCCGCCCTCAGCCCACCCTCGGCCCGCCCTCAACCCACCCTCAGTCACACCACGCTCAGCCAGCAGCACAAGTCGGACCCAGACGCAGTACCCTCAGCCCGCCCTCTTGCGCTTCCCTGCGCCGATGGCTCCCGCCGTCGCCTCGGCCTCCAAGCCGGCCTTATTGGCCTGCTCATCCCACAAGTCGCCGAAGAGCCTCTTTCCCCAGTCAACGTCCATTAGCCCGCCGTGACCACGCCCCACGCAACGGCGAGCTTCCTCGCCAGCGGCTTGTCCAGACCCTTGATGCCGACCGACTTTCCGTCGGCTATGGTGGGGACCTTGATGGGCGGGGTTGCACGGAGGACCAAGAGCGCGTCGCTGAAAGTGGAAAGGCCCGCTCGCCCCAGGTGGTCAAATAGCTTGATGACGGCGGCAGTGTCAGCGGCGTCGTCGCTCCGCCGCAAGTCGTGCACCGCTTCCATGATCCTCCTCATCCGGCGAGTGCAGTGCTGCAGCGCATCGTTTTTCCCCGTCTCACCCACCTCGGTCGTGGGACGAGAGCTCTTCGCCGACTTCGCCGACGCGGCGGGTCTGTCGCCCTTTTCGACCTTGCAGATCATGCGCGTGTGTCTGACGAGGAATCTGTGCTCGTCGTAACGTTCGCGCAACGGACGCGAGTCGAAGTTGGACGGGTTGTTCCACCAGCGCCATGTAGCCTCGACCGTCTTGGATGTGCACCAGGGATGCACGACGTTGACCTCGTACGTCAGGTCATCGTCCTGCTCCTTCTCGATCTTGACGGACGCTGCCTTCTCGGCGGCGGTCATCGGCCTTGACGGTGCCGGCGCAGTCGGCGTCGGCCGTGCCTCGGCCAGCTTGAGAGCCTCCATCAACTTCGCGATCTCCGCGTCCTTCTCCTCCAACTTCTTCTGCATCTCAAGCTTCTCGATCGCGGCATCCTCCCTCTGGCGGTGCAGCATCATGGTGAGCTGGTCGACCTGATATTCGGCGTCGACTAGCGCGCTGAATTCCTGCGATCCAAGGGGGATGGTCGGCAAAAGGTGAGCCAATGTGGCAGGACGACTTGTTTTACAGGTCGGCGGAACGCGCACGCCGTACCTCTTGGGGGTTCTCGCTCGGAGTACTGCGCGTCGCGATGGTTTCGAGGTCCACCCGGTTGACGTCCTTGGCCCATTTCTGGAAGTCGGGGTCGCGGCAGAGCTTGGAACTCTGGACGTACGGGTGCCACGGTTCGCGCATCAGCATGCATGCAAGATCCTCGGCGACGATTCGGCGGCCGAACTCGATGAGCGATTGCAGGAAGTGCACCCCGGCCGTGTTGGGCTCTCTCGCGGATGCGCACCTTACCGCCTGCAAGTCGAACACAATCACAAACACAATCAGCCGTCGGTAGAATGTTGTCGTGGAAATGGTCGGCGGGTTGTCGGCGTTTTTGCCGTCCGAAATGCTCACCTTGGCCAGTTCCGCTTCCGCCCACGGAAAGATGTGCTGGGCGATGAGGGCCACCACCTTGTCGTCGGGCTTCACCATGCTCCGGCCGAGGTGGTAGTCGCCGCGCTTGCCCGTGTAGCCGGCCTTTCTCAACACCGCCGCCTTCGGGATGGTCGTGATGTAGCTCTTCGCGAGCTTGTCGAGCGCCCAGTGGCCCAAGTCGGCGATGTCAGATCGCGGAACGCCGTCGTCGGCCAGCTCCTGTGCCCCACCCGCCCGGGCGGCGTGGGTGTTGCGCGTGATGAAGATCTTGTTCGCCCGCCACATCTCTTTCGTGATCCGAGAATGAGATGAAGCCGGCAGCTCTTTTTGTGCCTTGTCGTTCCGAGCATGAAAGAGGTGCTTGTGATACCAGCTGTACGGAGTTGTGAAGTCGAGGGGCGGCACACATCGAGAGGTGGGCGAGCGGCTCAGCTGGTCGTACACGAAGTGCAGCCACAACAGTGTGTGACCGACGGCGCACATCTCTTGGTCCAGGTGTCTCGCCGCGTAGCTGTGATGCAGACGAGCATCCTTGTTCGTCTTGGAGTTTCGTGACGCGACGACCAAGACAACCGGCCGTCGCGTGGAGTGCTCGGGCGACGCGTTCCCCATTCTGTACAAAAACAGGTCGGGGAGCTCGATCGCTTGGAGACTGGCTCCGCGGAGAAGGGTGTGGTGACCCAAGAGGGTCATCGTCTTCATGAGCAGGAACTTCCACAGTGTCTGGGAGGGGGTGGCCGCCTTGGGTTTGTACGCCCGAGCTGCCCAGGTCGGCAAGACCTTGAACATGAGGTGGCGGATCTGGTCGGTGGTGTACGTGTCGCCGAGCGTTCCGCGGTGCCGGTCGACGCAATCCCTGCACATCAGTTTCCACGAGGACTGGGTTAGCTGGGCGAACCGGGAAACAGGCATGAACCGCGCGGGACGACTTGCCGACTTACCTGTCGTCCCTGTGCCACTTCTCTCTGACCATCGCGCGCACCTCCGAGGGGACCTCGAAGATGTCGTACATGATGTGGAGCTCTTTCACCCCGAAGAGCGTCCCCTCGACCTTGCAGGCTGTCTGGAGCGCTTTGATGCGGATGAGCAGCATCGAAACGGTTGTCGGCTTCAGGGGCTGGACACGGACGTCGGGATTCAGCTCCTCGAGCTCCTCGGCCTTAGCAATACCATGCTGCCTCGCGGTTGACAGAATGTACGCCCTGATCCGCGTGGCGTTGACGCGGGGACCGTGCATCCATTGTAGGTCGCCCTTGGCGGTGTGCCACTGATCACCCATGTCTTCGTCGATGTACCTCCCTATCTCGTCCTCGTGTTCCAGCTAGCCGTCCCCCTTGACTCTGGCGGTTTGCTGTCTTGGAAGGTTCGCGCAGCACCATCTCCTGAAGTCGAGCAGCGCCCGCAGGTACTGAACCCGGGTCGTTCTCGCCTCCAGTGTGTCCAGATGCCGGAAACCCCACATCATCCTCAACAATCTGTTCTTCTTGGCGAGCTCTTTATTGATAACGAAGGCGGCTTCCGCAAAATCGTCGCGCGGAATGTTTTGCAGGAAGGCGTCATCTTTCTCGGCGGCTGCCAACAAGTCCTCTACGGTCAGATACATGTAGTCGTTTTCTGGAAATGGTCCAATTGGCGGCGGCTGCTCCGTGTCCGAACGCGGCGAGTACCGGTCCGGCTCGGGTTCGGGAGCCCCTTCCGTCCCTGGCGGTAGGGGGATGGTCGGGTCGGCGGGATTTTTTGCCCTAGCGGCGTCTACGTCGACCACCATGTCGGCGGGAATATTTGCCCTAGCGGCGTCTACATCTTCCTCCATGAAAGGCTTGTTCAGGTCGGGAATCGCGCTGCTCCCCGCCGGCGGCGCGACGCCAGCCATCTCGGCGGGTAGAGTTGTTCCCGTCGGCCTCTAGTTGTCGCCGCGGTCTCGCGGCGGTACGTGCTCAGCCCACCAAAGTCGATACTGCACAATCGCTGCCGTGTATTGCCTTCGCACCGTGGCCCTAAAGGCCGCCCGTCTTTCGGCCCTCTCAACGTTCTCGGCGATCGTCAACTCCGCGGCAATGTCGGTCAGTTCGGGAATTTCGCGAAGTAAGGGCGGCGGATTGGTGTTCTGCTAGTTGATGTTCGGAGTGGCCGTGGTCGGCGGTGCAATGGTCGGCGGGGTGTGAAGTGGCAATGTATCGTTCGGCGGGGTGTTGTTCGGGGGGAGGTTGGGCGGGGGGGGTGTTGTTGGTCGGGGTGTTGTTCGTCGGGGTGTTGTCCGGCGGGATGTTGTTAGACTGGTCCCTGGCCATTCGAGGCCGTACTGGGGATCACCGGCGATGACAATACTAGTTGTGGGTTTGAAGAAAGAGGTCGGCGACTTTCGGTTGTTGTCGACCTAGTTAGTCATCCTAGTCGGAATGATCCTAAGTCGGAAGCCCGTACAGTTTGCCGACCTAAACGCACACTACACCGGCGTGGCTCGTCGTCGACCCTGCACCACGCGTGGTCGGTCGGTCTCCGAGAAGCGTGAAAATGACCAAGGGAAATGTGGCTCACCAGAATGAAAATGAATGCAACGCAACAAACAAGTGACGAAATGCCATGGACACTTGGCCGTCAGGGGGTCATAGCATAGAGAGGCACAGTCTCGGTTCGGGTGGACAAGTGTTGGCGGGCGATCCGTGGGCAGGTCTCCAACCCTGCATGCAAGGCAGAACGACGGCGCAATGGTCGACGTGGCACGGGGCACGCATGTCTTTTTCGCAGCCGACTGTCCGGTGTTCCCGTCACGGTGAACCGTGCCTACACGTCGGCGTGACGCAGCAGTGCTCATCGCGTCGCCCGACGATGGTATCCCGCGGGCACGTTTCCGCCAGCAGGCCGCCGAAGGCTTGATCGCCGCGTGGACAGATGTTCGCCGATCGATGTTCGCCGCGTGGAATGTTGTGTTTCGGATGGGCGACGTGTGGCTTTGCGCGCCAGCGCAGTGGTCGGCCAGGAGTCGCGGTGGGCCGCACGTCGCAGTCCGCGCCGATGGCTAGCAGGACGTCGTGGCACGCTGGCCGTTACCGGCGGCGTCGACGTGTCGACCTCGTACGGAGGGTCCGTTGAGAGGTGCTATCGGGGTATTTTTCATCGGGATTGTCGGGTGACGCAGGGTGACGCTCCTCGCCCAGGACGTGCACTCAGTTAGCCGGACAGGATGACGCAGGGTGGCGGATCCCTTTCCCGAGCCGCGTCGTTTTTGCACCCGGATGTAGGCGGCGCGTTGAGATATACCATGCTGTACAGGGCAGCTGATTTTGGTGAAATGTGAAGCGGGAGTTGCTGGAGGCGCCATGGAGGCATGTCATGATGCATCTTATCAGCAGCGCGTCAGCTGAGGTAGTTACTGACGGCGAATGGTGCTGGCTGCCGCTGTGAATGTGAAACAGAAGCGACACTCCAAGTACTTGTATTTTCTAGATCAAACAGCCTTGACTTCAATTTCTGACTTCATAAAAAGATGTCGAAACACCATCTACTAGGCAGCTGCAACTGTCTTATGATGAAATTTACGTTTGAAAATCACATGATCGAGCATGTGTAGGGAAATGCGAAAGTGTTTCAAACGTTTTACAGTGCCCGGAATCAATTTGCAGATGGTGAGTGCAAGAAGAAATTCGTTGCATCCCAGAATCTGCGACTGGGGGCAGGGTCTGCCTTGGGACCGCATTGCCGTGACCACCAGAACCGAAGACTGACGGATGGTCAGATGTATCTGTGCCTTCCTGCTGTGGGCTGGGCAGTTGGTGTGCGACGGATCCAACGACTGATCGCGACGTCCGCACTTCTCTGGAGAGCGATCCATTCGATGGTGGCGAGGGCTCTAATAACGCGGGGCACACGTCTCCAAAACTCGGTATAGCGGAGTTGCTTGTTTGTGCTGGTACATGCCCACCAGACCAGCGCGAGCCCAGGAAAGAGCGCTTGGGTGGGGGGCGGAGTTCAGGGATTATCAGTCCAAACGTTCAAACTCGCTATTCGAGCACCAATGTACAGAATCGAAGTGGGTAAGCTGAGTCCGCCAAAAATCCGTTTTTGAAGAACAGAACCGCGGCAGTGTACACATGATGCCCAATTCAGTCTCCTTCCCCATCTTTCCCTGTGCTCCTCTCTCGAGCATGCGTTCACTAGGGGCAGAATGGGACTGAATGTGGAACAAAGGCTGACAAAAAAACTACAGTTGCGGAAATTGTGGGTAGCCCAGCGTGTTTTGTCTGGGAAACTCGAACATCTTGGTTTTGTCGTGGGCTATTAACGCGCGGGCCGCTGGTTGTGAATGTCGACCACTGGGCGTATGGAGTGGCAGCGAGCCTGTTCAGAGTGGGCGATTGAGTGAGCATTAGGGTGTACAGTATTTCCATATGGGATGTGTCACTAGAGTTTAACTTCCATACGGTGGGGTGACATTCATGCTTAGTTCAGAGCGGTTTGTTTACTACGCAGAACGTCTGTACAGATAATGCTTTTGACACACACATAGTAGAGTTGGTAGGGTTGACAAGGACCATACTTCTACAGAACCCAGTAGCAATCGGGTTATGATAATCTATAATTCGGTTAATTTCGGTTTCGTGGCTCATTCCCACCAGACCAATCATGCATGGCCTTCTTCCCCCTGGCCAAGTACGTCCCCCTGAAGCCTGTTCCACTTAGCGCCTTAGGTCCTGACTTGATGCCGAAACGATCCTTCCTAATTGCTTTTCGTTGACCATGGCTGGATGCATGCATTCCTGTTTGCGACATCGCACTCCCGTTCTCTCATCAATCTGGATGGGGGGCATACCTGCCGTCTAATGTATGGCGTATTGGGATGCCATGTTCGTTATTCCCCTCTATTCCTGCTCCTCTAGTCTGAACTGGCCTCCTTAGTAGAGCAGAGCCTATTGCATTCCTTCCCATATAATCTCCAGCTTTGGGGACTTTTACATTCCTAACGGGGCGCGTGTTGCGTGCTGCGAAGTGTGCCGCGAACGCGTGTTGCGCCTTCCCAAGTAAGACCCGAGACCCATACGCAGAGGACACGCATATCTCGAAGCGGGCTCATGGGGCCATTAAAAGCCTTTATGGACATTCCCACTCGCAGCTTCGAAGCTTCTAAGGCTTATCCTGTACACACAGCAGTTTGGGGTTAGTTCGTCGTTTTTTTTTTTCCACTTGTATACTCAGCAGTCTAGGGGTAGTTCGTCTACGTCGATTATTCCTCTTGGTTAGGTTGCGGTGGTAGCTGTTTCAGCCCACGAATCGAACGAGCTAGATTTTCCGTCGTCCATCTCCTCGTGCACTGCAATCTCCCATTTCATCGTCCCTCGCATCCAACGGTCGTCGTGCGCTGCGACCCACCAACGGTCACGATGATGGACCCGGTGCTCGTCCTCATCATCGCGAGCTGCATGACTTTAACGCAGTTTGCGCTGCAGCTCAAGGAGAATATCACCACCAGCGCTTACCTAAAAAACTTCGATCTCATGCTGGAGTCAACGGCAACACTTCACGCGTTGCTGACGGAGTTTAAGAGCTTCAAGGGATGGGGTGTGGCCACCGACGGCGCGAAGAAATCGTTTCAGAGGCTTGAAGACCTTTTGCGGAAAGCTACGGCGTTGCTACAACGATGCATCAGCGCGCGGAGTAAACTGCTTCAGGTGCGAATCTTACGGAAGGAAATTAAATTCGTCTATTTAATCTTCCGCATGTCAGTCAGGTGCGTAGTGGCGTAGATGTCGTCTCATCATTTAATTTCGTTGGCGTTTATCCCGTAGGGTTGGACTCTGCGAAGCTGATGCCATTGCATTATGAACTGTATTACACACGACTGGCTTCATTACTGCCTCCTAATGTTGAAATCGCAGCAATCCAAGTCTTTTTTTCTCAATTTACTTGCCGAATTAAACTCTACTTTACTTTTTTGGCGTGTATTACGGAATGCAGTTGGTATCGGAGCACGCGCTACAGGCGCAGGACTTCATCAAGATGCACGCGGAGCTGGAGCAGTGCCTCTCCACCGTCCCCATCCAAACCCTCCCTGAACCCCTCACCTCCAAGGTCAGTCAGTCGCCCTACTCGCCCACGCGTCAACCCCCTCGCGTTCCAGGTAAGCGGCAATGCGGCTTAGACTGGACGCGTCAGAGGTAAGTATTATGGGGCATGGCATCAGGCGAAAACCTGTACTGCGAGGAAGTATGCTAACAATGCAATGTGCAGGGGTGATCAGGGTTGAAAGCTTCACGGGCACGAGTTTGCCTTTATGGCTTGGCGGTAGTCGCAGCTCTCTGGATGTCCATGCGGTTTTGATAAGCTATTCAGAATGGTTGTTCTGTCGTGTGTCTCTGCTTTCATTCACAAGTCAGACTAATGTACTATCTCAATCTCAAATCAAGGGCGGAGACCGCTTTTAGTCTTACTTTCGTTTTATTAGACAAGCTTCCAAAACATGAGCATTTTGCATGCCTTAGTTCAGAATCCCCCGTTTTCCCAGTTCCCTCTTTGCCAACAAGCCCATGTGCGACAAATTGCCCACCCTCCCTAGTCTCCACTGCCCTCCCTCCGCGCTTACCACTTCTCCGTTTTTTCTCCCCTCTCCCATCCCCCATCCACCACCCCACCGTTATCACTCTCTCTTTCACACTCTTGCGCCCCCTCTCCTTCCGTTTCTGCTTCTTTTTCTCTTCCCCTCCCTTCCTCATCTTGCTCTCACATTCCCTCCTCGTTCGCCTCACCCCACAACAACCCCCCCCTCCCCCCTCCCCCCCCCCCCCCCCCCCCCCCCCCCCCCCCACAACCCTCCGCACTCCCGCCCGCCCCTCACTCTCCTCTTTCCATATAAGCGCACAATCATGCGCTTTTTCCGATTCAGTCACGTCCGCCACACACCTGCACCATCACATTCCCCCTCCCCTTTCGCCCCCCTGCCTTTTCTTCCTCTTTCCCACCCCCACACCCTCCCATTCCCGCTCTCCTCCCTCACCATGATCTCCCCTCCCCCCCCCTCCCCCTTTTCCCTTTTTTCCCCCCTTCCCCCATCCTCCCCCTTTCTCAGCTCACGGCGATGCGGCAGCAGCTGCTGAACACGCCCTTCACGGAGTGCGTCACGCCCGCCATGCGCGCGCAGCTGCAGCTGCTGCTCTCGTCCGCCGCGTCCCCCTCCCCCGCGCTCAAGGACGCGCCCGGCTCCGACGTCCTCGCCTTCCAGCTCGCGGAGGCGCTCGGGCTGGGGCTCTCCGCGGAAGCCGCACACCCGGGCGCACTGCGGCGCGAGCAGGAGGCGCTGGCGCTGGAGAAGCGCAAGGCGCAGGAAGGGCGGGACCTGGCTCAGGCGAAGGTGGTGGAGCAGGTGAGAAGGGGGGATGGGAGCAGAGAGTTTAGCGCGGATTGAATCACGTTAGGCGCAGGAGGGGCGGGACCTGGCGCAGGCGAAGGTGGTGGAGCAGGTGAGAGGGGGGGAGGGGGGACTGGGGATTCGGCAGAGGAGGGGACGGGGTTGGGGAGGGGCGGCAGAAGGATGATCAATGGGCATTGAAACACATAAGGGGCGCAGGAGGAGGGGCTGGATGTTGCGCATACAAAGGGTTGTGGAGCAGGTGAGAATGGGAGAGGGGGGACTGGGGAATGGGCGAGGAGGAGTGGGAGGGGAAGGAGGGTGAGAGGGGAGATGTATGCTTGTGCTCAATCCATGCGCGCGGTGGATTGATGTGACTTTTGAGCAGGCTCATATGAGAATTCTCAAAGGTCACATCAACATAGCTGGACGCCAGCAGAGATAGTGCTTGTTGTGCTCAATCCATGCGCGCGGTGGATTGATGTGACTTTTGAGCAGGCTCATATGAGAATTCTCAAAGGTCACATCAACATAGCTGGACGCCAGCAGAGATAGTGCTTGTTGTGCTCAATCCATGCGCGCGGTGGATTGATGTGACTTTTGAGCAGGCTCATATGAGAATTCTCAAAGGTCACATCAACATAGCTGGACGCCAGCAGAGATAGTGCTTGTTGTGCTCAATCCATGCGCGCGGTGGATTGATGTGACTTTTGAGCAGGCTCATATGAGAATTCTCAAAGGTCACATCAACATAGCTGGACGCCAGCAGAGATAGTGCTTGTTGTGCTCAATCCATGCGCGCGGTGGATTGATGTGACTTTTGAGCAGGCTCATATGAGAATTCTCAAAGGTCACATCAACATAGCTGGACGCCAGCAGAGATAGTGCTTGTTGTGCTCAATCCATGCGCGCGGTGGATTGATGTGACTTTTGAGCAGGCTCATATGAGAATTCTCAAAGGTCAAATCAACATAGCTGGACGCCAGCAGAGATAGTGCTTGTTGTGCTCAATCCATGCGCGCGGTGGATTGATGTGACTTTTGAGCAGGCTCATATGAGAATTCTCAAAGGTCACATCAACATAGCTGGACGCCAGCAGAGATAGTGCTTGTTGTGCTCAATCCATGCGCGCGGTGGATTGATGTGACTTTTGAGCAGGCTCATATGAGAATTCTCAAAGGTCACATCAACATAGCTGGACGCCAGCAGAGATAGTGCTTGTTGTGCTCAATCCATGCGCGCGGTGGATTGATGTGACTTTTGAGCAGGCTCATATGAGAATTCTCAAAGGTCACATCAACATAGCTGGACGCCAGCAGAGATAGTGCTTGTTGTGCTCAATCCATGCGCGCGGTGGATTGAGAAGTGGCAGCTGGCAGGCAGATATGCCGCTTCCGATCCACACCACACAACACATTCCATCGCCTATTCCCTTTTCCTTGTTCCCCCATCCCGCCTGTCCCCGATTGCAACCCACCAGATAGTGCTGGTGCTCATGCGCATGGAGCGAGAGGTGGCAGCCCGCAGAGAGAAGCAGAAGCGCGCCGCTGAAGCCGCAGCAGGCAGCACTGGTGCTGCTGCTCCCACCGCCTCAGCTGCTCCCGCCCCCTCCTCCATCTTCGCCCCTCAGCCCAGCCGGTCCCACGCACCAGCAGCAGCACCGGGAATCAATCTGCTGGCAGAGAGCTTGACAGAGCTCAGCGTGGGGGGCAGTGACAGACAAGCAGAGGCAGCAGCAGCAGCAACTTCGCAGCAGCAGCAGCAACAGGGGGCAGGGGCAGGGGCAGGAGCAGTGGCAGGGGTGGTGAGACATCAGGAGGGGCAGGAGGCAGCAAAGAAGGTGGTTGAGCCGATCAAGGTGGTTCTGCCAGGTGATAGCGCTGCTGGTGCTGGTGCTGGTGCACGGCGTGACAAGAGCCCACAGCCAGGAGTGGTAGGAGCAGAAGGGGCAGGGGTGGGAGGGGCAGCAGCGAACGGGGCTGGGGGTGTGGCAGCAGGCACAACAGCAGCAGCAGGGGCAGCGGCAGCAGCAGCAGCGGCACGAGCACGGTCACCCACGCCTGCAGCAGCAGGCGCCGCCGCCAGCAGCAGTGCCACCACAGCAGCAACGAGAACTACTGCAGCAGCAGCACCACCAGCAGCCGCTCCAGCTGCAGCACCAGCTGCATCCCATGCGTCCAGGCCAGCAGTACCAGCAGCTGCTGCACAAGCATCAGCAGCGGCAGCCGCGGGTCAAGCCGCACAGGCGACAGGGGAGCAGGGCGTAGCCCAGCAGATCATCCGCACGCTGCGTCTCGGTACAGTGGACGAGAAGGCACAGGCAGCGGGGCTCGTGGGCTGGCACACGAAATTCTCTGCCACCAACCGAGCCATGTTCCGCTCTGCTGGGGTCATCGACGCTCTGCTCCCCCTCGCCGCCGCCTCCTCTCCCCAGGAGGCGAAAGCAGCCGACGCTGCAGTGAGAGCCCTGGGGAATCTGCTGGCAGATGAGGATGTGAAGGTGGAGTTGATTGGGCACCTGCCGCTGCTGGTCCAGGCGCTGAAGCGCGCCCAGCTGCCTGCCACTCGCGCAGGCATGGCGCGGATTTTTAAAGCGATTGCCACGATATCGGATGAGGCGTGTAAGGTGGTGGTGGATGCGGGTGCGGTGCCGCACTTGGCTAAGTTTGTAGACCCCAGCGCCGCTGCCGCGCCGGCCAACCCGGCCCCGACGGGCGGCGCGGCGGTGGCTGCGGCCGCTGCCGCAGAGGAATCTTCCAAGCAATGCGCGGCGGAAACCCTAGCGATCCTCGCGCAAGTCCCCTCGAAGCGGAGCCGAATGGTGGCAGATGGGGCCGTTGGCGCTCTCTCCCTCCTCGTCCTCGCGTCCCCGCCGAACGAAACCCTAATCGCGGCGGTGACGGCACTGGCAGGGCTGGCGAGCGTGCATGAGGGGAGGGAGGGCATGGCGGCGGTGCTGCCGACGCTGGTGAATCTGCTGAGGGTGGAGGATGAGGGGGTGATGGCGCCGACTCTTGACGCGCTGCTGCTGCTGGCCAAGCACAGCGCGGGGTACCGCAGTGGCATCCGGAATAATGGCGGCATGCGGCATCTGAGGAATGTGCTGCGCGTGGGGCCCTCGCCTCTCCACAACAAGGTGAGACTTTGAGGTTTGAGACACGCACGGCTTAATGCTGAGTTAGTGGACGTTTCAAGAACCGGAATAGCGGCGGAAAGCAAGCAGCATCTGAAGGAGAACGATCTTGGTGTTGAACACGCCTCTGCACAACACGCTTCTCGGCCCGCCACAACAAGGAAAGGTTGAAGTCGTGAGATGTTATGGGAGCGGGATGAGATTTGCCTCCCACAGACTCTGAGGAATATGAGGTTGTTATTGGCCTGGCCTGTTACTCTTGCTGCTGCTGCTGCTACTGACAACAAGCTGTGCTGGTTAAATGCAGCACTGCTGTGAGAGCATCTCAGTTGCTGCTTCTCGTCATGCCAATGCATACCGTCATGCCATCCTGCCAACATACCATCATGCCGTCATACCAACGTGACATCATGCCGTCATACCAACATGACATCATGCCATCGTACCTTTCTCGACATTCTACTGCGTGTCCCACATCTGCGCGCTCCCACATGCCATGGCAGGGCATGGAGCTGCTAGCGGCTCTCTTCTCATAGCCCTTCAAGCCATGTGTGAAGCCATGGAGTTTCCTCGAGAGCGGCTGGCCATTTGTTGATTCACTGCTGTATCTTCTGGGAATTCTCAATACCTGACAATCTGGAAGGAAGCTTCGCACAAACAGGGAAAGGTTATCAACATAAGCGTGGCAGCTATTGCGTGTTACAGAGTCACGCATTGTTTGCGGAATATGCAGTCAGTACTCTCAAGTTATTCTAGGTAGGTAGCCATTCCAGCTAGGAGGCTTGCGTAGGACTACCTACGCACGGTAGTTGAATTAGTCTAGTTCCCAAACTGGTTTGTCTAGCTGGGTGGGTGGCTAGCTAGGCTCCAGCTTCATGTAGTGCTCAAACCCCTTGCCTTCTAGTAGAAAGAGATATCACTTTCTGCTTTGTAGCGCAATGTCGTTACTCTTTGTTATGTAGCTGTAAGGAAATTTCCTAATTCCTTACTGAGGCACCGCTTACGCGTACATTTCCAACTTTCGGAGTTCAGGCTCGGTCCGACGACCTCGCCTCCCGAACGTCCTCCGCGTCGCCTTAGGGTTTTCCCAAACCCAAACCTACACCCAACCTCGCACGACTTCGCGACCTCAGGCTTAGCTAGCCTTGCTATATTATGCCTAGGCCCCGATGTTTGCTCAGTAGTTGTAATCACTTCCGCGATATTGCATTCTGCGCACTCTTCTTTCATACAACTCATAACACCTGGTATCAGAGCTACTTTCCTAGGTTACCCTCCACTTTCCGGGGTAGTTTAGTACGGGGGTGCGATAGGTTTGGTGGGCTGCAAAGCGGTCGGCTGAGAGATAGATACGATTATCTCGCTCCGACTAATAGCGTTTGCGCCTTCATCAAAACCAGAAAAATCGCTGTTAACCCCCTGCCCGTTAGACGAAGCCTGCGACACATGGACCAGGCGGAGTTAAACGAGCTCATGCAACAGTTTCGGGCGCTGCAGGCCAACATGCAGACCATGTCTGGCGAGTTGGAGCGCCTGAGGGAGGAAAACGCCGAGCTACGCCAGACGCGAGGTGAAGCGCGTCAGGAGTCGCCCGTCGTGGATGAAGCAGGGAGCAGTTTCGTGCCTAACGACGAGGTCCTCAGCGAGCTACAGAACTCGCTGGACGCTGAAGACGAGCGGGCAGCACGAACGCGACGAGCACAAGGGACGCAGGAACAACAGTCACAGCCGAGGAAACAGTCGCAGACGACGCCACGACAGGCAACAGCGACAATCCCGGTGATGGCTTCAATGGCGCCCCCGATGCATGCAGCAGCAACAGTCTCAACAACTGTTAAAATTAAACCGACGAACCCGCCCCCGTTCGATCCCAGCGACAAAACCGTCACTGTGTCAGCTTGGTTGTTCGGCGTAGAGGTGTTTTTTAATGCTGCGCAAATTGCTGACGATGCTACCCGCATTAATTTTGCAGTGTCACTATTACGAGGACCGGCGTTGGAATGGTGGAAGCGAACTCTTCAGCCAGAGGGGGCTCCGGCAGGGATATCACGTGCGAACGACGGGACCTGGACAACTGTCACGCAACAGGCAACTACAATCTTCGGAGTGGCCACGATACGCACATGGACGGAGTGGGGCGCCGCGCTGCGAAGCAGATTCGAGCATGTATCCGCCTCGGATTCTGCTCGCATGAAGCTGCGTACCTGGAAGCAGGTGGCGTCGGTCCAAGATTACACAGCGACGTTCTGCAATTTGGCTGACCAAGTGGACGACATGAGCGACGCGGAACGACTCGACCGATACGTCGCAGGCCTCACGTACGAAGTACAGTACGAGGTGCGACGGGCGAGGCCACGCGTATTTATCGAAGCCGTCCAGGTGGCCGAATCAACGGATGCGCTGATGCAATGGGCGAGAATGAGTTCCCGGGAGGGCACTCAATTTCGTGGACCGCCGCGCCAGCCCACAATCAACGGGGTGGATGCACCGAGGCGGGGAAACAACAACTGCTTCATCTGCAACCAACCGGGCCACTTGAAGAAGGACTGCCCGAAGCTGAAACAGGGAAACAGGAACGACGGAGAGGGGTCGGGAAAAGAGACGAGTCAGTAGCAGTCGGGCCACCTACTGACGAGACCCCATCGCCCGGCAATCAACATCCACACCGAGTGGTGGTACCGATACGGGCTATCGACCGCAACCGGACGAATAAAGTGGATGAACACGTGGATCACCCTGTGCTGGTCGTGGGGAGGGTTAATGGGCAAAAAATAAAATTATTCGTCGACGGTGGGGCGAGCCACAGTCTCGTCAACCTAGCGACGGCCAAAAAAATCGGAGTCAAGCTGGACAGGTGTCTACCAGAGATTGATGCGCGATTGGTGGACGGAACACCGCTGGCGATCAAGGACAAGGTCCGACAAATTCGGATGAAGTGTGGCGACGATTTCGGGTTCTCCATGCGGATGTTGGCGACAACGCTGGACGGTTGCGATGTGCTGCTCGGAAGGGATTGGCTGCAGCGTTTCAATCCGACCATCGACTGGACGACGGGAGCGATCACGGTGCTGTGCAACAAGGGGCGCGTGACACTTCCGAAATGGGCGGAGCCGGAGCCGACGACAACACGTGTCAACGCGATAACGATGAAGAGGGCGATAAAACGGGGAGCGCAGGGCTACGCCGTACAGCTGTACGAGGTGGTGGCTTCCGAAAAAATCGCCGACATCGACACGCTCTGCGCTGCTGTACCCAACGACGTGGCGAGCATAATTCGGAGGTACCCTGAAATATTCGTGGATGACCTACCTGATGGGCTGCCACCTCAGCGTCCGGAAGACCACAGGATCGAGCTGGAGCCAGGCGCGAAACCAACCGTTCGGTCCCAATGGCGGCTCAGCCAACCGGAGCTCGACGAATTGCAGAAACAGCTGGATTATCTGCTTTCTAAGGGTTTTATCCGGCCGAGCACGTCGCCGTACGCCGCCCCGATACTATTCACACCGAAGAAGGACGGAGGCCTGCGCATGTGCATCAACTATCGAGCGTTGAATCGGGTCACAATCAAGTCGCGTTACCCGATCCCACGAACAGACGACCTGCTGGATCAACTTCGCGGGGCTCGTTTCTTCTCGAAAATCGATTTGCGAGGTGGCTACCATCAAATTCGGGTGTTCGCCGACGACTGCCCGAAGACCGCATTCCGAACCCGCTACGGCAGTTATGAGTACACCGTGATGCCGTTCGGGCTGACGAACGCACCCTCGACGTTCCAGCTCATTATGAATGGGGTGTTTCGCGACATGTTAGACAAAAAAGTTTTCGTTTACCTGGACGACATCCTGGTGTACAGCAGGACACGGGAGCAGCATTTACAGGATTTGGACGAAGTGTTCCGGCGCTTGCAGCAGAACCGGCTGATTACGAAGGGCTCTAAGTGCGAGTTCTTACGGTCGGAGTTGGAGTTTCTAGGGCACGTCGTCTCTGGGGAAGGCATTAAAATCGACCCTCGTAAAATAAAAGCGATTTCGGAGTGGATGCCGCCCACGAACATCACTGAGTTGCAGAGTTTCCTCGGCTTCGTTAACTACGTCCGCCGTTTTGTACCCAATATGGCGGGGGTAACCAGGCCGTTAACCGATCTCCTGCATAAGGGCGTGCAGTTTCTTTGGGGGGAGAGAGAACAGCTGGCTTTCAACGAGCTGAAGAAAATTATGAGTTCACCCTTGGTGCTTCGACTGGCAGATCCATCTCGACCGTTCGAAGTCGTGACGGACGCCAGCGATTTCGCTGTCGGCGCTGTGCTACTACAGGACTTCGGCAACGGACTGCAACCCATCGCGTACGAGTCAAGAAAAATGCAGCCGCCCGAGCGCAACTACCCGGTTCACGACAAGGAAATGCTCGCCATCGTGCATGCGTTTCGAACATGGCGATGCTACCTCACGGGAGCGGATGTTACAATCCGAACTGACCACAAATCACTACAGTACATGCGCAGCCAACCACAGCTCAACCCACGACAAATCCGGTGGATCGACTACCTCGAATCGAATTTCCGCTACACCATCACATATAAAAAGGGCGCCAACAACATCGCCGACGCCCTGACCCGCCCATCCATGCAGACCGCAGCAGTACTAATCGCCCATTCCAACCCTTTATTGACAGGATTATTCAAGCACGGCTACAGGATCGACAGATTTTTCAGGACCAGTCAACACCGCGGGGTCACTACACCGCATGGAAGTTACTACCTAAAAGTCGGTACTAACCGAGTTTGGGTACCTTCCTACCGACCCTTACGCGAATTGCTGACGCAAGAAGTACACGATTCCAACCTCTCCGGGCATTTCGGCGTCGACAAAACATTGAAGCTGCTGCAGCGGAACTACTACTGGCCCGACATGGCGTCGGACGTGCAGCGCTATGTGTCCGCCTGCCCGACCTGCCAGGCAATGAAGTCATCACGACAACGACCAGCTGGCTTACTGCAGCCCCTCGAGCCACCCGAACGACCGTGGCAACAGGTGACTATGGATTTCGTCACGGGCCTTCCAGCTGGCGCAAGTGGCAACGACTCCGTGCTCGTCGTCGTTGATCGCTTAACGAAAATGGCGCATTTCGCGCCCTGCCGTACAACGATCACAGCCGAAGAAACAGCACGACTCTTGATCTCAACCGTCGTACGCCTCCACGGGTTACCTTCGGCGATCATCAGCGATCGAGATCCGAAATTCACGTCGAAATTTTGGCAGGAGACATGGGCACAGTACGGCACCCGCCTGCAATTTTCGTCGTCCTACCACCCGCAAACCGACGGACAGACAGAGAGGACAAACCAAACGATGGAGCAGCTGATTCGCACGAACTGCCCGGACATCACCAAGTGGGAAGATTCTCTTCCCATGCTCGAATTTGCGTACAACAACGCCCCATCGGCAACGACCAAGCAATCACCATTCTACCTGAATTACGGGATAGACCCGGTGGTACCCTCATCGACCACTCCCGACAACCCGGTACCTAGGTCACAGCAGTTTATTTCGGAACTCCATGACGCGCGTGCCAAGGCAGCTGACTTTATCCGAAAAGCGAATTCGACCGCCAGCCGCTACGCTGACCAACATCGACGGAATTTACCCTTCCGCGAGGGGCAGATGGTTCTCCTGGACACAAAAAACCTCAGACTGCCCCAGCCCGCAAAAGTGCGTCCTCGATACGTGGGACCTTTTCGCATCATTCGAATGCTGACACCGGTCACTGCGAAGCTTCTCCTCCCGGACGACTGGCATATCTACGACGCTTTCCACGTCAGTTTACTTCGCCACTACGTGGCACCCCAGTCCTCCGACGTCGCTCGACCCCACCAGGCGCCCAGTGTCCGACCGGTAGCAGATCCCACGCTCCAGCCCTGGAAGATATTGAATCATCGCATTCGTGCGACCCCAGCCGGCCGCCACGTCGATTTTCTACTTCGTTGGGTGGATCGCACAAGTGACGACGACACATGGGTCCCGGCTGACTCACTACAAGGGCACTCGGTACTCCGGCAGTATCTTTCTCGCCGACACGTACCTGATATTGACCACCTTTCTTGAAGGGGGGGGTAGTGTAAGGAAATTTCCTAATTCCTTACTGAGGCACCGCTTACGCGTACATTTCCAACTTTCGGAGTTCAGGCTTGTTGAAATTAGGAGGTCGCTAGAGTAGCGGAAATACTCTAGGAAATAACGACGTCCCAGCGGCGGGGCTATGGTCACTCAGAGGTAGCTCTCCTGGCTTGTAACTTGGTGCCAAAGCAGCGGCCGAGGGTAGGCCGGACACAAGCTTGAGAATTGTGTAATGATAGCATGGCAGTACATTGAGTTATATAGGAAACATAGCAGGGAGGCAGTTACCAAGGCGCAACTGTATTACAGTTGCGCTGTAACGTTTCAGTTGCCCAGTTACTGGCGAGACCTTTCAGCTTCGGCAAGGGCGCAGTATTCTGCCGCGCCTCCAGGGTGGTTTCGCGTACTGTAGACGCTGCCTCTTGCTCAATTCGACCCTTCGGCTGCCACGCGGGTCGCAACCACTGTGCGCGGTTGCGCCCCTGCAGTTCGATACTTGAGTCAACACCCCCGATATTGAGGGCTTCGCTTCTGCACTTCGAACAGTGCACTGCAAGATAAATAGCACACAAATATATTTCCAACAAGGCTCGGTCCGACGACCTCGCCTCCCGAACGTCCTCCGCGTCGCCTTCGGGTTTTCCCAAACCCAAACCTACACCCAACCTCGCACGACTTCGCGACCTCAGGCTTAGCTAGCCTTGCTATATTATGCCTAGGCCCCGATGTTTGCTCAGTAGTTGTAATCACTTCCGCGATATTGCATTCTGCGCACTCTTCTTTCATACAACTCATAACAGTAGCACTAAGGAGGCACTTTTTACCGTAACTTTCTGTAATGTAGCACGATGGAGGTAAAATATAAGGTAAAAAGTGGTACATCACAGAAAGTTACGGTAATAGACATTTGAATAAAATATAGGTAGTCAATGTAAAATCCCAGACTGGTTGGCTAGCCATGTTTTAGCTTGCTGCCTTGAGGATAGTTGAATTCCAGTAAAATGTCAGCAGGAGAGTTACATAGGAGAGTAAAATGTTGGCTTGATGCCTTGAGGATAGTGCTCATTACACATTGGATAGTGAACTTACACTGGAACATGTTATTGCTGTAGCATGATGGAGGTCAACTTTGCATTAGATATAGATATATATTTGTATAACAATAAGTTACATCACCCTACTCATCCAGAGCAATGGTGCCGTACTTGTGCTTAGCGCACCTATCGATGTCACCTGTAAGGAAAAATCGTCATTATCCCCTTTCTGTCCCGATTGCGCATAATCTACAAACGTAGTAAGCTCTTTATCAGAGCGGTTAACGGATACCTCTGTAAACCCTGCACAACTGTACACCAGGGGCCTTGTTTCTGTCCATTTACATGGTAATGAGGTGCGCTGTATCCGCTTCGTGTTGCCCCCACCGCCGCCGCTGCCCCCACCATTGCCATTGCCACCACCGCTGCTGCTACCACCACCACTCCCGGTCCCACTCCCATTCCCATTCCCGTTGCCGTTCCCGTTGCCATTGCTGCTGCCGTTACCATTTCCACTTCCACTACCGCTGCCGCTCCCATTGCCACCATTGCCATTCCCATTCCCATTCCCATTCCCATTCCCATTACCATTCCCATTCCCATTACCATTCCCGTTGACGTTGTTGCTGGTCATGATCACGCTGTTCAGTTTCCTGCCTCCTCCAGACGAGGCTGACAGCAGCAGAGCAGCAGACTGGGGGCTGTTATCCGGTGCCACGAGGATGATTGTATAGGAGATGCGGTAGAAGCTGGCCGTGCTGCAGTGGGGGAAGAGGGAGAGAGGGAGAGACAAGAAGTCAAAAGGGATTGCTATCGGTATCTCACGGAGTGCAGGAGGGCAGCAGACTGAGGGTCGTTATCTGGTGCAACAAGGATGATTGTATAGGAGATGCGGTAGAAGCTGGCCGTGCTGCAGTGGGGATGGGGAAGAGAGAGAGAGAGAGAGAGAGAGAGAGAGAGAGAGAGAGAGAGAGAGAGAGAGAGAGAGAGAGAGAGAGAAATAGAGAGAGACACACACACACATGGACAAGAAATGAGCAGGAGTTATAATCGGTACCATATCTAACAGATGAATGTCCGTACGTAACATATCAACCCTGATGTGAGTCCCGCCCAGCAATGGAGCCTGTGAGGTTGCAGGGAGTTTTTGAGAATTCTCAAAAAACACACGCTGTCATTGAGGTTAACGTTTTTTTACGTTTTCTGACGTTTTTGTACCTTTTTTTTTTAACGCTTTTTGAGGTTAACGCTGTCATTGAGGTTAACGATTGAGGCACGCGTGTTCCACTCGGAACGAGCGAGTAGAGGAGGGAGGGAGAGGGAGAACGAGAGAGTAGAGCAGGGAGGGAGAGGGAGAACGAGAGAGTAGAGCAGGGAGGGAGAGGGAGAACGAGAGAGTAGAGCACGGAGGGAGAGGGAGAACGAGAGAGTAGAGCAGGGAGGGAGAGGGAGAACGAGAGAGTAGAGCAGGGAGGGAGAGGGAGAACGAGCGGACGAGAGACGTACAGGCTGTCGACCCTGATGTGAGCGCCGCCCGGCATGGGGTCGGTGAGGTTGATGGCGAATTGGGGGGACGTCACTGCTGGCAACGGGGCTGATGCACGGTCTGCAGCACAGGAGGGACGTAGGTGGGCAGGGGAGGGAGCAAAGGGGAGTAGAGGAAGCGGGCATGGGGTCTTTTGAGGACTTTTGAGGCACCTCAAAAATGAGGTTGATGGCGAACTGGGGGGACGTCACTGCTGGCAGCGGGGCTGATGCACAGTCTGCAGCATGGGAGGGCAGGGGACGGTAGAGGAGGGAAAGGGAGGGCAAAGGAGAAATATTACAGCCATGAAACGCAAGGCAAGGCACGGGAGCACAAGAGAGTGCAGGACGACACAGGAAGGTGCTGGAGAGTGAAAGAAGGAGAGCAGACGAGAGAAGAGATGAGTGGAGGAGAGGAGAGAGCAGCGCGTACCAAAGGCAGCAATCGTGCTCCCTGCAAAATCCCCAACGGCCAATCCCTGCGCGCCACCTGGACTGCTCGACATCTCGTCATACTCCATCGCGATCAACGGCCAGGATTGTGCCACACTCCCACCTGACCCAGTTCCCCCACCCCCACTCGCCCCTCCCCCCACACAGCCTCCGTTCTCCCCCCCAGTGCGAAGGGACGCTAGTGCTGCTGCCAGTGATGCTGGGCTTGGGTTGAGAGGAGGGGAGGAGGGAGGAGAAGTGGAGGGAGGAGGGGTGGAGAGAGGTGGGGAGGAAGGAGGCAGGGGAGGGGAGGTGGATGGGGGTGCGGAAACGGGAGGAGGAGGAGAGGAGGAAGGACCATTGCCATTGCTGTTGCCATTATCATTACCATTCCCATTCCCATTGCCATTGACAGTGCTGTTGCCAGTGCTGTTGGCATTCCCATTCCCATTACTGTTGCCATTGCCACTGCCGTTACTGTTACCATTGCTGTTACCACCACTGGAGTCAGGAGGAGGGGAAGAAGGGGGGTCAGGGGGGGAGGAGACTGAGGGAGACAAGGGCGGGGAAGCCGGAGGATCGAGGGGAGGGGGACTCTTGTTTCCATTTCCATTCCCATTCCCATTCCCATTCCCATTGCTGTTCCCGTTGCTGTTGCCGTTCCCATTGCCGTTCCCATTGCTGTTCCCGTTGCCATTCCCGACAGGAGAATCAGGAGGAGGAGAAGCAGGAGGATCGGGCGGCGAGGAAACAGGAGGTTCGAGGGGAAGGGAGGCGGATGGAGGAGAGGGAGGAGAAGGTGAGAGGGAGGAGGGAGCACTAGAGGGTGGGCTCTTGTTAGCATTTCCGTTCCCATTCCCAATGCCGTTGCCGTTGCCATTGCCATTGACAGTGGCATTGCCATTATCCGCAGGGGGAATAGGAGGAGGGGAAGCAGGAGGGTCAGGTGGTGGGGAAACTGGGGGTTCGAGGGGAGGGGAGGAGGATGGAGGAGAGGGAGGAGGACTCTTGTTGCCATTCCCATTCCCATTGCCGTTGCCGTTGCCGTTGCTATTTGCATTGATAGTGGCATTACCATTCCCAGCAGCAGGGGGGTTAGGAAGAGGGGAAGCAGGAGGTTCAGGTGGCGGGGAAATCGGGGGTTCAAGGGGAGGGGAGGAGGATGGTGGAGTGGGAGGAGGAGAGGAAGGAGAGAGGGGAGGACTCTTGTTGGCATTTCCATTCCCGTTCCCGTTCCCGTTCCCGTTGCCATTCCCATTCCCATTCCCATTGCTAGTGACACTGCCATTCCCGGAGGGGGAGTCAGGAGGAGGGGAGACAAGGGGGTCAGGGGGAGGGGAAGCAGGGGCGTCAGGAGGCGAGGCGAGTGGGGGGGACAGGAGCGGGGAGACTGAGGGTTCGAGGGGAGGGGAGGGAGATGGAGGAGAGGGGGGAGGAGGAGAGAGAGGGGGAGAAGAGGGAGGGGGAGGAGAGGGAGGGGGAGGAGAGGGAGGAGGAGGAGAGGGAGGAGTGGGAGGAGGAGGGGAAGGAGGAGGAGGGGAAGGGGAGGAGGGAGGTGCGCTCTTGTTCCCATTTCCGTTGACGTTGCCGTTACCGTTACCATTGGCATTTCCGTTGCCATTGTTGCTGCTGCTGCCGCTGCTACCAGTGGTGGTGGAGGTGGTGGAGGGAGGTGGAGGGGAGGAGGAGGGAGGTGGAGGAGAGGGAGGCGGAGGATCTTTGACCTTGGGGAGCAGCATGAGCAACGATCTTTGAGGCACCTCGAGCAACGACCCATCTGCAGGTGTTGCGCTGCAGGCGCCAGCAGCACAAACAGCAGCATCAGCAGAAGCAGCACCAAACGCAGCAGCAGTAGCAGCAGTCATAGCAGCAGTAGCAGCGAAGGGGGTTGAGAGAGAGGCAGTGCGCGCAGCGGAAGCAGCAGCAGCGGTGGAAGCAGAGGGGGGGGGGAGGACAAAGTGCCCTACGGCTTCCCAGAGAGTGGGGGTGGCGGCAGCAGGCTTCCTCCAGGTGATGGCGTCTGGGAGGATGGGGAACGGGCACGTGCCCTGTGCGCAAGGGGGTGCTGCACCGCCCCCGCTGGTGGCGCTGCTGTTGGCGGGCGCGAGCAGGGACAGCTGCGAGGGTGGCGTGTCCTTGGGTGTTGTGGCTGTCAGCTTGTATGCCACGCACGCACTGCTGCCACACGTGCTGCACATGGGGATGGGGGTGAAGGGAAATGGGGAGAGCGTGAGTGTGATGTTGAGGGCGGCATGTCCTTGGGCGTGGTGACTGTCAGCTTGTATGCCACACATGCACTGCTGCCACACGTGCTGCAGATAAGGGAGGGGAGGATGGGGGTTGGGAGATGGGGAGGGAAGGGGAGGGCACGAGTGCGATGTTGAGAGAAGGGCAGTGGTTGTCAGCCTGTATGTATGCCACACACGCGCTACTGCCACACGCGCTACTGCCACACGCGCTACTGCCACACGCGCTACTGCCACACGCGTTACTGCCACACGCGCTACTGCCACACGCGCTACTGCCACACGCGCTACTGCCACACGCGCTACTGCCACACGCGCTACTGCCACACGCGCTGCAGATAGGGATGGGGGATAAGTGACAGGGGGAAAGGGGAATGGGAGAACGCGGGTGTGGTGTTGAGATACTGTCAGCTTGTACGTGGCGCTGTGCACATGTGCATGTGTTGTGTGAGTGCGCGCGTGTGCGCGTGTGTGCGCGTGTGCGCGTGTATGCCCGTGTGTGCGCGTGTGTGCGCGTGTGTGCGCGCGTGTGCGCGTGTGTGCGCATGTGTGCGTGACAGAAGGGACGCAACACACTTCGCGCGGCGGGTGACGCCTGTGGCGGAAGTGGAGGAAGTGGCGGATGGAGGCGCGAGGCGCAAGCAACTTACCCGAGCGCCAGGCTGATGCTACCGCGGCCGTTGCCCCCACACACCAGGGCCACGCGGAACGCTGCATGCGGGGGGGAATGGGGGAACAAGTGGAAGGGGAAGGGGGAAAAGGGGAAGGGAGGGGCGAAGGGGAAGGGAAGGGAAGGAAGTGGGGGAAGCGGAGAGGGGAAAAGTGGGGGAGAAAGGGGAGGGGGAAGGAAGGTGAGGAAAAAAACAAAAAAAAAGGGGAAAAAAAAAAAGCGGAGATTACATGGGACGCTAGATGCACAACAGAAAGCGCTTCCCCCCCTTCCTCTCCTCCCCCCCACCACCCTTAGAAAGCACGGAAACAAGAAAGTGGAGAGAGTGAAAGAAATTGAGAAAAAGCGAGCACACAAAACAAAACAAAACAAAACGAAACAGAAAAACCAGAAAAAGACTACTCTCGTTCGAAACCCTAAAGCGTTGTACTTTCGAAACGACGCTGCGGTGACAGCCTAACGGATTTCCACATCAGAATCGACCTACCGTCAAAGTCGCCAGTCGCGACCGGCAAGTGCAGGAGCAGCACCGCCGCTGGTGGGTGGACGGAGGGATGGGACGGGGAGGGACGGGCGCGGAGGGCGGAAAAAAGAAAAGAGATTGGCGGAACGGGGAGTGGGGAATAGCAGAAAATAGTGTCAGATAAGGTTCGTGATTATTAACGGCTGGTAGGAGCAGCAGCCGGTAGGCGCATCCGGAAGGCTCCGCCTGATCCACTGCGGGAGGCGGAGGGCGAGACACGCGCACTTCGCAAGCCGCGGAAGGCCCGTTGCGATTTGTGGAGAGACACAAATTGCGAGGGGGAAGGGCGTCACCATTCGCGGGGGAAGGAGAGTGAGAGGAGTGTTGGGGAGAATCGGAAGGGGAAAGGGCGCCACCATTCGCGGCGAAATCGACGGTCAACGAGGGTGCGCGCGCGATATTCGAGGAGTGTACGTTGGTATCAAACCAAAAAATCGATGAGCGACGACGAAGCAAACGACCGCGCGACGACGACGCGACGACAAAACGGCGACCACGCGACGACCACGTGACGACGCGAACGCAGCGACGACGTAGCGACGCGCCGTCGGAACGGGTGAAGCGCGGCTGGCTCGCTGCCCGGCAGGTAAGCCCAGCGCAGCGGGCGGCTTTTGCGCCGTGCCCGGCGGTTCGAGAACGGCGAATGCGGAGCACACGACACAGCTTTTTCATTTTTGAGGCGAGGCGCTTCGAATATGAACGGCGAATGAAGGACACACGACACAGCGTTCCGCGCGATGGTTTTGCGACGACTCGACACACCAATGGTAGACACCTAATCACCAGCAGTGCAGAGTCCACCGGTGTGATAGTTATCTAGTTTTGAGACGTCTCAAAAGTAGATCACTCACCAGCGGTACAGTGTCCACTGGTGACGGTTCTCTCCTTTAGCTGGCAGATAAAGGTACGGTAACGGTCACTTACGGTCACTAGCGTCCAGCTGGCGGCATGGACTTTATGCGACGGCAGCGCAACGTAACAAGTAGTAATAGTAATAGTAGTAGTGGTAGTACCTAGAACGTAGCACCACGCGGGTCGACAAGCCGCGTCGTCGCCACCATGATGAGGATCGTGTCGCACGCGCCGCGTCACAGTCGCACCTCGCCGCGTCACAGTCGCATCTCGCAGCGTCACAGTCGCATCTCGCCGCGTCACAGTGATGCCGCTGGGCCGATATCTCCGGGTTGCCTTCGGAGTCGCGCGGCAAGATCTCCGATCCCCGCCGCACTTTCCGCCGCCGCGGATCTTAGTTGCGAGCCAACGCATATCGCGCCGCGCAGGAGGTAACGGAATTGTGGTTGTGCCACGTGTGACCTCTCGCAGCGAAATGGTCAATCTGAGGCCGACGGATTCTACGAGACTGCAGCCACAACTCGTGCGGTGCGAGGTGGGGGATCACGGGGAGGCGCGACGCGGGATGTTGACCGCGATCATTACAAGTGCACGTCAGAGGGTTCGACTCCTACACGTCCTAGTACCTTCCCCCCTTGCTACAAAAGACAGGGCCGCAGCGATCCGACACGAACCGAGCACTACTTGACGACTCCTGTCACACTTGCGTGGATTGTGCAGTACGCGTAAGAAACTCCGCAAACCCTAGCTTGTGAGGAATAGGAACTACTTGGGGTCCGGGGTGGCAGGGCGGAGCCGTCAAGTCTTTAATATGCAGCCGGGTGAGATCGTAGGTAGGTTCAACACTAGGGTGTTGGAGTGACAAGGCTGGATTTTGAGTGGGAACTATCAGTGGTCCTTGGTGGATAGATCGGACAGGCCATGGTGAAGCGCGGTAAGGGAAGGGAAGCACTAGGAACAAGGATTGCACGCGAAAACGTCGCGGGCCAGTGGAGTTAGAACTGCACAGTGCTGCAGTGTATTGTACGGACAGAAGCGCTCCGCTTGAAACAGAGAGACTCCCGCCTGGATTCTTGGTCGCCTCACCTCGTCACGCCATGCCATGCCAAGAGTGAGAGGTGACACGGAATGGTGAGTGAGAGGTACACCATCGCGGAATGGCGATGGGGTGGGTCGGTCGGTGGATGGGTGGGCAGCAAGGAGGGTAGGAAGCAATGAGCATGCGCCAAGCACCGCTGCAATGGCGGATTTGACGGAACAGATTTTTTTTTTTTTTTTGATATCAAATACATTACAGGAATGTATAGACATCGACAGTCGTAACTGTTGACGGAACAGATGTGTTCAATTGAAGTTGGGGAGGGGGATGGTGAGGTGACTGTTAGTGGAGGGAGTCGGAGGGAGGTCTACTGTACGGTGTCTACTTTCGTCCGTTCGTTGGACTTTGATAGGGGATTTCCGTCGCATGTGAGAACAAGTTGGTGATCGAGTGCTGTGCTGTACTATGCATCGATCGATTTCAATGCCTGCGGTTTGACTGGAAGACCGCTCCATTCCCCGGTTCTGGAGTGCCGTGTCAGACCGTGGCGTACCGTGGCTGTCCCTTGTGGCGCCTGGTTATGCCCGTGCGGTGCTGAGGGGGCAGTCGTTACTGCTGCTTGCTATCCAGGCGTGGAGATTCTGGCGAAGAGCGTTTTGTGTGGGCTTGTGATTTGTCAAGGCTACGGTGAGGAAGGGAAGGCTGGAGAGGACGGGATTGGGAGTATTTTGACTTCTTGCCTTTCTACCTGATTTCCTACCCCGAAACTTACAGCTTTGTCTGAAACATCTGTTGATTGCTGAAAAGCACAGCTCGGAGCACTTATATCTTAAACATAACACTGGCAAGATGAACCCGAGGCTGTACACCCAGGGCAGATTTGCCTGCCTGCCAATTATCTTCGCTGTAAATTTTCTTCCCCGTCATCGTTTATATCAGATGGCCGCGACGCAGCAGCGAAGGAGGCAGGTGGGTGACTGTTGCTGACAACAAAGCTTGACGACGATTCTCGAAGAATCATCGTCAATTCTGTCGCCTTGACCTGAGGGGCAGACTGACTGACGGCGACAAAGATGACGGAAGGAAGTTGCCAGCGAATGGGAAGAGGACGTTGATTGTGGTGGTCGTCAAATTCGTGTGGAGTAGGACCGATAAGTTATCAATCTGCATGTGGTCTAGAGATTGGTTCGGCATCCATCCGTACGTAACAACATTTCATACTTGTTACAGTATGACACAACATTGGGGAATGGATGGTACACGTCGATAACACTGACTCTCATAAGAACGCCAACCTGAAAAGCAGCACACATTCTGGATGAATGCCGTAGACAAATATTTTTAAATTGTTTCTAGGCATTTTACAACAACCTATACTTCCTCCTCCGACGGATTCACCCTAGTATTTCCGTCGCACCAGTTGATAGCTTGCATTCAGCCAAGGATCCTCGCTATAACAACCGAGTCGTTATAATCTATACCGGGTACGAGCATGGGCAAACCCGACGAGTCGTCATCCTCGCAACAAGACGAACGCACCTTTGATAGCGCAATACCAGGCGGAAGCGGCGCCGAGCCCTCATCATCGGTGCCACGTGGTACCGACGTGGATCCGGGAAAAGAGGAAGACGATGGGTGGGTCTACGATTCGAACGAGGAGGAGGACGAAATGATAATAATCCGCGGTGCTGACGTCAGCGGCCATGGAGCCGCGGATCTGCCCGAGGGGATGGAGGCGCTGATGCGCGCTGCGGAGGAGGGCGACTCGGACGCCTTGAGGGACGCGATTCGTACGTCGGTTCTTGGCGCGATCCGCGCACGCTGAGCGGAAGGGGGATTGCAGGGGGAGAGGGGAAAGGGAGTGGTACGGAGAAAGGTAGCGGGAAGGTAGGGGGGAGTGTGAAGGTAAGGGGACGCGGGAGGCTCGCTGACACTCCCTGTGGGTTGCTCTCTCCTAACCCCGAAACCCTCTCCCTTCTTCCCTCTCCCCTCTCCCCTTCCCCCTCGCCCCTACCCTCTACCTGCCCTCTTCCTCAATCCGCTTCCCTCTTCAGAGGGCGTGTCAGTGCCACTGGACGCGCCAGGCGAGGACGGCAACACGGCGCTGCACCTGTCGTGTCTGTACGGCCACACCGCATGTGTCGAGGTGTGGATTGAAGCACATTCACACGTGCACGCATGCACCCATGCGCACATGCACAAGCGCGTACTACTCTTCCCCCTCGCCTCTGGCAACACGGCGCTGCACCTGGCGTGTCTGTACGGCCACACGGCATGTGTCGAGGTGTGGATTGGAGTTTGAAACACATGCACACCTGTCCCCCCCCCTCTCTTCCCCCTCGCCGCTGCAACACGGCGCTGCACCTGGCGTGTCTGTACGGGCACACTGCGTGTGTTGAGGTGGGGATTGAAGTTTGAAACACATGCACGCATACACCCATCCGCACATGCACAAGCGCATTCCACTCTCTCCCCTCGCCTCTGGCAACACGGCGCTGCACCTGGCGTGTCTGTACGGTCACACGGCTTGTGTTGAGGTGGGGATTGGAGTTTGAAACACATGCACACCTGTCCCCCCTCTTCCCCCCTCGCCTGCAACACGGAGCTGCACCTGGCATGTCTGTACGGCCGCA